TTCCCCTCCCTCCTGTTAAGTTCTTTCTTGGTTCTACACAGATAGAGATGAGTTGGACTCGATGATCTTTGTGGACCCCTTCCAACTCAGCATACTCTGTGATTCTATGAGTTTGTTTTCCCACTGTTAGTGAGTTAGAGACAAAAACCTGTGTTTTATGAGGTCAGTGAGAAGCTGCAATACCTGTAACTGCCTGATAGTTGCCTTTTTTTGGTCAGAAATAGTCTAAAATGGTCACAAGGGCTGCTCCTTCCACCACAGACCCTCCTGCAGGTTATGTTAATAACCCTAACCACATGTTCCTTTTAGGGAAAATTCCTTGTCATACCGTGGCTGCCAACGGCCTCTGAGGTTGTCATGACTAGCAAACAAGTTTGGAAAAGCTCCGGTGGCACTGGCAAACAAGCAGTTGTTCAGGGTGCTAAAGCAGCAGCCCCTAAGTGGAGGGTCTGCAGTGTGAGCTCGTAAGTGGTGTTCATGTCCCTGCTGTTTACGTCGCCTGGAAGCGCCACTAAGCAGCTCAGATCCCCTGCAAAGGCCACCTATAATTAGCCTAATTGGCCACTGGATGTCAGTATCTTGCCACAGAAACGGAACTGACTTTCACTGAGTGAAGCCTGACTTTTCAGGCTGCAGAAGTTTCAGGTGGTTATCCAAGCTGATTCAAGGTTTTGGCTTAGGTTTTTTTTTTTTTTTCCCTAGTAATAACTACATAAAATACTAATTATACCCCCCCAACCCAATCAAAGTCTTGCAAAATAGGGCTTGAGACAATAACTAAGTAGTGTTGGAATAGCCCAGGAAACTGTTGGAACTTCTCTTAAGAGTCAGATATGCTGATGAGGTTAGAAAACTCCCGCAGTTGGAGACATTACTGAGCTGATTTAGAGCTGTTTTGTAGGTATACACTGAATTTCTTTGCTTTGACTGCTACCTCCCATATTAACCAAGTAAAACCTTCTCCCATGCAGCACCATTTTACCTGGACCTTTTGCAAGTTAAAAGCAGAAAGAGAACAGTATTTCTTGGTTAATTTCCCCTCTCCTAAAAAACAATAACAACAAATAACCAAGGAAAGACGGGAAAGAGAAAAAGAAAAAAAAAAGTGAAAACAAAGGAAGAGGGGGGATACAGCACTCTCCAGCCCCACAGACTCATGTATTTTTAATCTGTAATCTGTCAGTGAGTATAAAGGCAATTTTCTAGGGGTGCATAGCAAATATGTTTTGCAGGACTTACAAAAGGGGATATTTCCCTTTCGGGCATCACATGGTTGCAGGTGCAGAGAGAGCCAAAGCTGTCACTGGGGCAATTCCAGACAGGCGTGAGGCACAAGTTCTGGGGAATGTCCTGCTATACAAAACATCTCAGGTGCTAAGGAGGATTAGATGAGGAGTTTTGGAGTGTTCTCCGAAGTTTAGCAGCCTCCTGCTGCTGAGTGCAATTTGGAATTCGGAGGATTTAAAATTCACTTGTACAGGGTACATTTCTTTTCATTGGAATGAAATTGAGCTCGCTCAGCTTGCAAAAGAAAAAAAAAAAAAGTTAGTCTTACAGTTTTTTTCCCTTAGGACTAGTGACTGCAGAAGCTGGATACCAACCAAAGTGGAAACTAACCAAATTGCCTCTGTGCCCAGCTCTGCCCTGATTGAAGTCAGCAGTAGACAAATTAGACTTGAAATTATCATTTGGGGGAAAATAGACTATGGCAGACAGTACATTCCTTCCCATAACCTCTCTGAAAAGCATCATTCAGAAATAACTTTCACTGGCAGTTTTCTACATGAACTATATACTGCCTATGCTAAAAATACACATTAACAAACAGTATATTCAGCATATGGTGACTGACTTGCAATATTCAACATGTGTTTATTGTTAGAATTGTAGTGGAAGACTGAACAAATGAGCTAATTAACGATATTGGTGGTTTGGGGGCTTTTTTGTTTGTGCTGGTTTTTGCCTGCATATAATACCCACAGAGCTGACAGAAAAGCCAGACTGGAAAAGCAGATTTTCCCCTAGAGCAGGAGTTACTGTAGCTCTTCCCAAGTCTGATGTCACTTGATTTTCTTGGTCCTAAGATCATGACACTAACCTCGTTTTCAGTTTAACAGCTTTCCTTTGGGGGCCTTCAGTACTGTTTCTAAACAGCATGATGTCCTAACTTTCCACTTTTTCTTTACCATGTGGTACAAAATAAACAATACCCGTCATTCATTTGTAGAGAGCATCACGGGAATGCTATGCAGCCCTCTGTTAAGGATAACAGTGGCAGCCATGGCTCTCCGATCAGCGGGAAGCTGGAAGGCATCTTCTTTAGCTGCAACACCGAGTTTAACACCGGGAAGCCGCCCCAAGATTCACCGTATGGAAGATACAGGTATGAGATTGCAGCCGAAAAACTCTTCAACCCAAATACTAACTTGTACTTTGGAGACTTCTACTGCATGTACACAGCCTACCACTACGTCATCCTCGTGATCGCCCCCGTGGGGTCACCGGGAGACGAGTTCTGTAAGCAGCGCCTTCCTCAGCTAAATATAAAAGATAATAAATTTCTGACCTGCGACGAAGAAGACGGTGTCATGGTTTACCATCACGCCCAGGATGTTATTTTGGAAGTAATTTACACTGATCCTGTGGATCTCTCCCTCGGCACAGTTGCGGAAATTACCGGTCACCAACTAATGAGCTTGTCTACCGCGAACGCAAAGAAAGATCCCAGCTGCAAGACCTGCAATATCAGTGTTGGACGTTAAAACTTCCCTCGTTCCTTAGGAGCCTTCCAGCCTCTGTTGCCCATGTCCATAGTCAGACGTTTCTGTCGGAAGCATGCACATGCCGCTGTCACCAAAAGCAAACACGAGTCTTCAAAATCTCCAATAGCGTTCTTAGAATTTCTTCTCTCCCTCTTTCCCTTCTGTTCCCCCGATGCTTTAAATGATTAGAAGTCCTGGGTTTCTTTCTGGCAACCATTTATCCCTAGATGCTGCAAAAATTGTTTTCTGTTTCTTGCCAAACATAACAAAATCCTATATAAACTGCTTTAGCAAAATAAAAATAACGGCTTATAAATGGTGTTTAAATATGCATTGATTTTAACTACTGAACAAGTACTGGGATAACTCTGAACAGCATGAAAGGTTGTAATTGCAGCATGATTTGAATTTCAGAGCCTAGAGATGTCAGCACTTCCAACGTGTTGTTTGACAGTGTTATTTATGTTATTTATATTAGCTAACTGAAAACAGAAACTGTGTCTCGACATAATAAATATAATAGAAAAATATTTTATTTGTACTGTTGTATAAAATATTATACAATCATATAGAATATATAGATTACATTTTAATATCAATTGTATACATATGTCATTAAATCATTTTCCCTTATCAAAGATGTAGTTTGTAAACTTCAAATAGCTCTGTATCTGTTCCTGTTGCTCTCAATGACTTTAATTAAAACAGATTTATGAAGACCATTTCTGATTCATAAAAGTTAAGTTATAAATTATTAAGTCAGTACACTGAAACAACAAACATCTCTGAAATAAAAAATTCCTTTTTTAGTGTTCATATTTTTTCCTCCAAGCTACTTGAAGATGTGTCCATCTTCCAAATCATACCATTAGACATAAGATAAGTACAAACATGGTTGGTACATAATAGGCTTTATAAAATCAAAATCTTCTTACCAAGATAGAAAACAGATTGCTTATACTATGTGGTCAATACAAAATGACAGTTAAAGCAAAACACTAAACATGATTCAAATTATTCAAGTCCCTTTTTCTTTCTTTAATGAATTCTTCCTTCCTTTATGTCTGGGATAGGTGTTTCCCAGAATCCCTGCTTTTCATTTCCAATACAAAACCTGCTGATAATCCTTCAGTTAACAGTCCACTTTTCACACCAATGGTCTATCACAAAGAGTGACAAAATCTCCTTAATATTACAAAGTGTGGTGCTCTGAAAGTTAAGAAAGATGTATAATTCCAATGGAAAAATAACTTTTTATAATCTTATTTTCAGTAAACAAGAAGTCTAGCGGTCCTCATCAGATAACTGTGACACACACTTATATACCATGTACTTTATCTATCCAAAATATCTTAGCATAATGCAATAATCTAGTCCTGTTTTAATATATTATATATGTGGCAATTTATAACACAAGAAGTACTTCAATATTCTACAAAGTGCATGCGTCTAAACGAGCTTTGGTAGTCAGAAAAGCGAATGTTATAGCGTCAGGCAAAACAAAGTGCAAAGTTCCATACAAAAATCAAAATTAGCATGTAGTTAGTTGATCTGTTTTACTGAGTTTTAAATTCTGTGAGCCAGGTCCTCTGAACTAGTGAAAAGGACAGCAGCCGGTACATTTGTTCTCTCTCTCTTCCCAGTAACCTCTATTTCATTTCTTCAAGAACTTTCTCTTATCTCTAAAAAAACAGTAGTTCCATTTGTCCATCATGTTCTGTCCTTATTTTGGTTTTGCATAAGCAGCATCACTTTGCTCTACTCCCTGGCACTGTTTTTTTTCCTAAGCACCTTTCTTTGAAGCTACTGGAATTGAACAGTAGCTCTGTCTTGAAAGCCCAGAGTATGTTCTGAGTTTTTCCTTCATAACCAGCACATTGAGAGCTGACATTAACAGTTAATTCTAGTGCATGTTCATTCTGGAAATAAACGTGTGGCACATTATCGTGTACTAAGATGTACCAAAAACCTGGAGAGCATTTCCTCACGCTTTTACAGGAGGTCAAACAATACTTCAGTGTCCTTTTCATTTCCTAACATTCTCACAGTGCACTTCAAGGCTTTTTCAAAAGGAAAAATATATACTATAGTCCACTCACCCGTGCTTAATATTCTTGCATATTGCTGTCCTCTCTCATCCCAGCTATTATAATTGGTAAAGTGCATCAAAAATCTCTGTGTGTCAAATAATTGTGCAGCAGACCAAGACCTGTAAAATTACTTTATCTTTTTCATTACTTGTTTTTTTTTTTTTTGCTAGAGAACAATATCACAGCATTGCATTCACTTCAAATCGTTTTGGAAATATCATGCTTACTGATGAGAACCTCCAGGAGCCTGATTTTGGCTTTTGTGTGCTTGTATTCGGAGTATTCCTCAGCCATTGGCACCCGATCTTCTTTTTGAGGACTCCTATGAAAAGCAGATAACAGTGCCATCACTTTTATGAGTAAGAGGAGAAACTGTCTTTAAAATTAATTCTGCAACAACCAGTGAGAATTGGTTGGGGGTTTTTTGTCTGTGGTTTTTTTTTTTACTAACTGTTAATTACTAAAGATAATTTGACAGGACTAAAAAGCTCTAATAGACAAATGAAATAGTATTATTTAAAATAATCAATTTTCATATGCCAGAAAACTTTCTTTCTTGACAGTTGTACAAGCATAATCACTTGATTTTCAAAGATGCAGAGAAGTTATAGTGCTTTGAAAACTGTTACCAGTTACCACTGCCCATACCCTCCACAGTTTCAACAAAAAGGTTTGCTAAATGAAGGGAGGAGGAAAAGCAAAGAGTGAAAAGTACCTGGTATCTAATTATGGGTGAAAGAAAGAGTGGCTTCGCTTTTAAAACCCTCGGCTTTTAAAAATGGCCCAAACACCAAGTGTGATTCCTGCAGATTGACACCCTCAGAAAGAGTCTTTTAGCAGCCTGCCTTCAGCTCAGGGAAGATCCTGTGCTGAGATGGGGGTTATACCAATGGCAGGCATGACCTGGAAAATCCCCAGATCCAAGTTGTCCTCAGGGACATCCTGAAGGAACTAAGTAGGGAGATAGATGGACACTTCCATGGTATTTTCCAGTCCCCAGCTGCAGCATCTTTGTCCTGCTCACCCCAGAGTGCCCACCCTGGCAGAAACAAACACCCCTGCAGAGGACCCAAAGGGGACAGGAGAGGGCTTTGGCTGAGCTGGTGAGTTACCTTCCTGTCTGTTTGTAGAATTGCTCCTCAAACTCTCTCAGAGCTTTGCGAAGCCTTTTCTTATCAGCTCTTGTTTCTCTGAGATGTTCAAGCAGAACGGGCCTGTAAGACAGAGGCAAGAATGCTGAGACCCCCTTGTGCTGGGAAATGTAAAAGCCAACACTTCGGGCAACAAAGAGCCTGCTGTGCTGGGCCACGGCAGGCACTGAGCTCAGTGCCCTGAGATGTTCCACCACACCCCTCCAGTGATACACAGCTGTGCTCCTCCCCTTTGCTGGCCCTCTCACCGTTCTAATAAAGGGAAGGCAGGCACTCTGTGGTCAACATGGGAGGAAAATCATTCAGGATTGAGTCTTGCTAGTGGCCTTAATTCTCTGTGGAATTAATGGAGTTGACGCAGTTCAGCATCTCACAGTAGGAAATGCTTTGCATCCCTTTAACTGAATTAAAATCAACATCCAAGCCCTGCTCATGTTTGCAGCTGTTACCAATCATTACTGTGATGCAGTGCAAATGCCAGTGGTTCCCAGAAGCATCGTTTTTGGAGGCCATGTTTTAGCTAGTGTTCAGAGAAAATAGGGGTTTTTAAGCAGAGAAAGAACTCTGTGATGGCATTTGCACTTCTTAATTATTGTTTTTTGGCATAAAAACAAAATGCACAGAAATATCTTCCCAGCATTTATGAGCAAACTGTTGCACACATAGTTCATTTACATAGAAATCTAAGTAATTTCTATTTACTCTCAATTTTGGTAGAGCCTGGTTAGCTTCCTTTATGCATCTAAGAACTCCCAATCAAAACACGAGAAAAAGATACCATCCTCTAAGCTATGAGAGCATATCTGTTCCTGGAAGACATTAATCTGCAGTAAGATTCTGGACTGAGCAATAACAGCACACGTGCATCTTGAGATTTGTTGTCTCATGCAACCTGAAATTCTTAACTACAAATCATAAGGAAGGATTTATTTTGGTTTCACAGTGGAGGGTGGTGCTAAGTTTTCAGGGCAGCCAGACATTAATAACTAGGCTTAGGCAAGGAAGAAATTGATTTTACATGTGTTTAGTGGCCTCCCATGTGACCAGTTGCTGTGTGACCTTTCATGCAGCTCCCCTGTTGCTGTTTGGATGCCTAAGGTCACTGGCATTTTTACACCACTCACACAGTCAGTCCCACAACACACAGAGAGGAGCAGACTATCCTCCAGTTTTATGATAGCTTTGTAAGAACCTAAGTAGTTAGACAGCTGCAAATTTTGCAGCAATTAAAGGTAGGTCTGTGTATCTCCACTGTGCCATTATGTCGTATCTGCCACTCTGTGTATGTCATTATTTCTCTTATCTGCTTACTTTCCTTTACCTCGCTCTTCCTGGACTTGGCACAAAGTTGTTTGAATAAATAGCTCAAACCACAGCTATGCTGCCCAAACAACAAATCTCCCCTGCCTCTTCTCTCCCATAAGAAAATGCTGAATCACTCCCTTTGGTGTAGAATATCCCTATGCAGCAGGTATGGCTCCTGTCTCATTTATGAAACATTTTAAAAATACAAGGGAAAAAAGCGAGAACTTACATTGTTGCCTCATGTAAATTGGACATAGACAAGGCTGTTTGCCTGTAAACTTTCTTTTCATCCAGAGGTGAGACATGTGCAGGCTCACTCTCCTCCTGAGAGTAACACAGGTGCTCTTCGACCGGGAAGCAAGACATTGGACCGGATGACAACTCGTGGCTGCTCTGAGAATGGTCTTCATCTGAGTCTTCCTCCTCCTGCTTGTGGAATGTGAGACATTATTTAATTAATTGTTTAAATTACAACACTGACAGTTCATAGGATGACAACAAAAAGAATTAGGATCTAACTCCCTGGATGTATTCCTTGAAATAGGTGACAGACATTGAGAGCTTTACCAAGATTGTTCATGAAAGCACTCGTGGGGTCACTGGGTAACTGAATATTGCCCACCATGAGTATAAAGGACAAAATTGGCCCTGCTTCTGAGTGTCCCCAGCCAGCACTTTATTTCTGTTTGCTCTAAAGCCCTTATATATAGCAAAGATTTAACTAACATTCTGTATTTATTTCAGCAGTGCAGCCTGGCTGGAACTTGTACTCCTCTTGTATACCCTCCACTGTGTGCATTGTGTCCAGAAATTCTGCCTGTAATAAGAGCTGTAAGGAGAGATCTCACAGTTTTATAGCTACAAACTTTAACTACCAAAATAGATGGATACTGCTGTCTTCTCCTCAGAAGAAAAGTTGAGCTATTGAAACTGAGGCTTAAATATAAAAAAGCAAAGCTCCTAAGAAGTGACATAAGGGGAAATTTCAGTTAAATTTTCTAACAAAATACCTCTGTGCGTGTGTACAAAGCTTTATATTGAGATTTTTCAAAGAAATCTGAAGCTCCATTCTCATCTAACAAGACAATAACAATTTTTAAAATCGACCTAGCTCCAATTACTATTAGGTTAGTATTTATGATAGACATGCTAATTAACTTCCAAGTAGCCAGATGCCACTACCTTTACTCCCCATGCGACCAGTCCTGTTACATTACAGTGACATATTATTAAAGTTCTACTAATATTTATACGCTGCATGATTGATAAAAGCATTGTCAATAAATTACAGAAGCAAGACACAGTGACAGCAGAGAGCTTTGTGGAAAGAGAGAGCCATCATGGTGTTAGCCATGATGGAAAACTAATACCAGCCTTTGATCTCTTACCCAGTCTATTGAAGTGCTGCCTCAGAAACTGCTGCCATAAATTGCACCCTCTGACATGCCTAGAAGCTGAATTTGCTCTATATAAAATATCAACACCCTGTATTAACCAGTGAGCAGATTTTTTGAATATCAGTACTTCTGTTACTGCCAAATGGACACACAGGTACAAATCAAGCACAGCATTTTCTGTGTTTGGTTTGTTTTGGTTTTTTTTCAATGGACATGAATTCTTTCCAACTTACAATTGTTGTAATCAAAGATGGAGCTGCAAGAAGTTTCTTGATAATTCTGTATCTGTCGTAAAGAGGTTTCATGAGACTCTTTTCTTGCTTAGTGACCTAAAGAGAAATTGTATCAAAATGAAGTCATCCCAAATTAAAAATCAAAGGTAAATAAAAAAGATTCTCATTTGCTCCTGTAAAGCTGAGAAAAGTATTACAAGAATATGACCAGATGTGTATTTTGCTTCCACAGATATTCCATGGGAACTGTAATTTAATTCATACAATTTTCTAAAAAGGAAAATGGCAATCTGTTTTCTAATGGAGAATACCCAATGTGGTTTCCTCACTTCCTTGGGCCACACCACCCAGGCAGAGGGGCTATTACTCACTTTCTGAGGGTGCTGGTGGAGCAGTAAGAGTTAAGATACACTGCTACTCTGCCTTGCATTGGTGCCTCACTCACTCAGCTGTAATAATGGCAACAGGCTTCCTGCAGGAATGTGACAGTCTGCCTGGGACAAAATGCTCATAGTGGGATGGAGAGCACCAGGAGCACAGCTTTACAGCCTCCACATGGAGCTGGCTCCATGCAGGATTGCTGCATGCATTCCTCACTGGAACTGCCTTCCACAGGCAGGATTAACTGTCCGCTCATTTTGTTTGCTCTTGGTCTTTTATGAGCGCTAGAAGAATTGATTTGGAAGAGAGTATGATTTAAATTCAGCTGTTAAGAGCCTGATCAAGCCACAGATATTCACCAATACAAAAATAAACCTTGTGGAAACCTAGCTGTGCAACAGACTGACTTACTGCATTAAGGAAAAAAGAGTGAATTCCACAGGGAAAAACAACAAGACAAAAAAAACCCCAACCAATCAAACAACCCGCATCTTCCCAGAAAAGCAACATGTTCCTCAATCATTAAATGTCAAAGCAGGGTCATTTGCAAGCTAGTCCACCATCAGCCTCTGCTCCTCAACTCCCATCCCTAATGAGCACTCTCTGGGTACAAAGTTACTGATTTTTGGTGCAGTGAAGCCGAGGTCCACCCACTCAGATGAGTGAACACAGGGCAGTTCCGGAGAGACACAGGCTGGGTGACTGTACAGACAGTAGTTCAGAGCTGCTCAGAAACAGCCACATGCCTGGTCAGCAGAGTAAGGGTGACAGGCAAGCACAGGGGGATGGCTCACTGAGCAGTTGGGGACCATTTCCAGAGGCACATTTATTTCACTGCAGAATGTCACTCCCAGTGAGTCTGCTTCTCTTCCCCAGTCGTCATGTCCCATTTGACTACAACACGTAAGAGTGGCTCCAGGGAATGCCAAAGAGCCAGAATACATTGGTTTTTTGTTTGAAATGTGGTCAGTGCCCTCTCTGTCTGACCTTGTTAAGGTAAGTCTGGATGAAGGTGATGCTGAGCCATCAGCATCATCCCCAGTGAGCTCCACTGTGTTTCAAGGCTGCTATTACAGAACTGCTTCAACCTTGAGAAGAAACACCCTCTCTGAACCCCATGCTATAAAACATGCCCTATCGTTCTCTTTTTTGAATCAAGTCTCTTTTATGTCTATATAGCACTATAATTTCTTTTTTGTTCTCCTTCTTAGGAAATATAATTCCTTCATACCCTCTCCATCCCTCAGCTCTCATTCCAAGCCCAAAGAAGATGAACAAAAATGTTTTTATCCAAGATGCAGAGATAATTTTAACAGCTGGCATATTTTTGGACACATGCTGGTGCCACTCCCCTTTTCCTCTACCACTGCAATTACTAGCCAGAAACAGTCACAGATATCAAACATATCTATGATATACAGACATAGAAATCAAACAAAAATTCAGAATATGGACATAGCTATCAAACAGAAATTCCAGAGTTCTGTACAGACAAATTTTCAAGTCATCATCTCGCCAGTGGTGGGATTTTTTTTTTTTTTGGCTTGCACCTGCATTCAGCAATGAAGTCCCTTGAAAGGATTTTAATTAACAGTTTTAAGTGCTGCTGTGTAGTAAAGGAAAAGACCTGTGACAGGTCATGTCCCAGATGGTGCCCTATAGCAAACCTTTCTCAGCTGCTAAGCATTCTAACCATACATCATAGCAGAGCCAAGGCTGCATGAGCCAGGTCTGCTGTGGATATATAACCTTCCAACTTTATCATCAAATCCTGCATTTTCCAATCATGAAGAGAGATACAGGGCTGCTAGACACTTCTCTTTTTATTTTAGTTTATTTTTCTAAACATAAACCAAATTCATCAGTATCAGGCAATAACATATCTGAAAATTATTTTGAAATAACTAAAGTTATGTTAATTGTGTAAAATTAATCTGAATATATTTAATATACAAGTCCAAAAATATTTGTTAGATAACTTAGATAATTTTTAATGTACCTATCTTTCCATGGCATACTTACAGGTTCTCCATGAATACTCTCAAAATATAGCAGACATTTCTGAAGATTGATTTTTTCCAAAGCCATTTGCTTTTTTGTCATATCCTATTTAAAAGAGTTATTTATAAGATTATGAGTCAGGGTTTCATGACAAGGGTACAGGTACATATCTGTTTAATAATCTGCTCTCCCCAGATAAACATTAATAATGAATCCTCTTTCTGCCTGCACTGAGGTCAGTGGGGACTTGGCATTAACTTAGCAAGAGCAGAGTCCAAAATTACATGACTGAATTTTTAAATGAATCAAAGGACATGTGACCCTCTCAAGGCCTAATGCAGAGCTGATGGCAGCTGTGCTCTCTCTTATGGAGAAAGATGCATAAATGACAATTTACTGAAAGCCTGGAATCTTATTTTTCCTAACTGTCATACATCTAATACTTGATTGCCTCGGTCTCTCTCAAGATGTCTATTCTACCAAAGCCATTTAACAAGCTTAAGGCCAGGAAGTGCTGTTGGGCTACTGATGGAACACTGCTGCATTCCTTATCTGGAGTGTTCCAAAGGTAAAACCATGGCCTTAGTAAGCTCAGAGTCTGCATCCAAAAAAATGTTCTGAGAATACCATTTGACAGAAACAGTAAGGAATCAGGGGTTTTGGCTGGAATATCTCAGGCAAATTTAATGGACATGAGGCGTGTTTGGACATGAGGCCATCAGTTGGGTTTTGGAAAGGTGACATAAAAGATGCCGGCAGCACATGAGTAGAAGGTGCTGGCAATGAGGTCCCGCAGATACCCATTGAAGTACTTTCTTAGAACAGTTTAGGTAGCATTAATGAATAGCTATTGTTACTGAAAAACTAAAGAAATGTTTTTCTCATCCATCTTACGGAGAAATCAGAAAATGTTGTTAACTTGCATTTGCCAGCTCGGTTCATAAATCGTAGACAGCATTCCCCGTGATATATTAAGTATGTTTAGTTACAGCCGCCATTCTGCTCAAAATACTCAGAAACCTGCAAAAATACAGAGAGGCCATTCCTCAACTTTTTAATTATTGATCAAAAAAGAGAAATGGATTTGCCTTATCTGGTAAGGGGTGTAGGACAAAAGGCTTCAGCAATGCCAAAACCCAACCTGTTTGTGGAGTAGAATGATAGACTTACAGTGAAATCCCTAAATATTCAGCCATTGTGATACTATGTTGAACACCCTCTAAATGCCAGGAGCACGAGAAAAAGGTACTGTCCATAAAATGAAATGGAAGCAGACTGACCAGGCAGCAGGAAGTTCTAGCTGGACAGTGTGCATTGGTAGAACCACTGTGGGGGAGCTGCAGAAAGTGCATCTCACACTGGCAGTTTATTTCTGTTCAAAAATCACACCACAAATCACTGGTACCAGAAGAATGTTGATTTTTCAACAATGCGATGTGTCGGTGTTGGTGACACACCAGCACGTGTACAGGTGTCTGCTGCAGGGAGCACACAGTGCAACGGGTATTTCTCTCCTCTTTTCCCTTTCCCCTTCTTCCCAACAAGATCTGCTCCTGAATACCAAGATCATGACACAGGTGTATGAATCAGGACCAAGTGTCCACAGGTTCGGAGGAGATGAAGTAATGGGAGGATCCACGGAGTTGGGGACACACAGGGTGCCTTTCTGCAGAAATTCAATGACTAAGGTTTTTCTATTGACAACTTGGAGAAATATTTTTACTAATTAGACTCTATTTTTAAAAATATATTGAACCCTGAAGAAGTAACACTCCTGTAATATCAGAGTGCCTTGCTATTAACTTGAGCAGAAGCAAAACCTTTTTTGTTCGCTCCTCAAATGCAAAACCGGCGCAGAGCTGCTAATCAGAACTGCTAATCCCATTTTGCCTAAAAGGTCTGCATGAGTTAATCACTCTAACGTTGTCTGTCATTCATTTTAAGAGATGAGCTGCTAACTAGAATGCAGGAGTATTATAAATTAGCTAATTTGTTTATTTATTGCTAGTTCTGCAATTAATACAAGGTTAATTCTTTCAAAAACTATTAAGCCCAGGGCAGCTGAATGGTTAGGAAGACACAGGGAGTGATCATTAATATTGATTTATCACACAACAAATGATCTCAAGGGGGTTTAGCATTTGAGCCTATTTCATTAGCTCATTTTATTAGCAATCTCAAAACAGGTTTGTATTCAGCTAAGTTTGAAATGGCTGGTAATTTCAAAATCAGAGCAGGCAGGTGAAATAACAAACTACAGAATTGTCTGAGACATCATAGGACTGTAGGCTGAACAGACCAGTGGAAAATTCAGTGCTAATTAAATAAAAACACTGCTTCATAGCCAAGGAGAATATGAACTGAAATAGGTCAATAATGAGAAGACAGATGCAGAAAGGGAACCAGTCTGAGAAAGGCCTTGGGGGACAGACTGCAAACATTCAAACTAAACATAAGGCAAAAATTGTTTGTGGCACATTAAAAAAAAAAAAAAAAAAAAAAAGAAAAAGGAGATTTCACCTGAAGCTAAGTAGTTTGGTTTTCATAACTTGGAACAGAGAGCTGTACACAGTTGATTTCCCTACTGGTCTGTCCCCTGCATTCCCAACATCTCTCACTGTTGTTTACACAGACAGAAAATACAAACTGAGGACAGAAGGACAGACAGTGTGACAGCAAGGGCTGGACCTGCCTGGCGCCTCTCAAAAGAGGTGCTTTGTTTCCAGGCAGGCACAGAGTCCAGGTTCCCAGGGCCAAAGTCTGCCTCTTGGGGATGTGTGGTGGCTCATTGCAAAGCAGCATTTTACACAAAAGTAGAAAGAAGGTGAATTATTACATAAATCACTATCCCCCTGCCCAAGTTGCTAGTGACACAAATACTAAGAGGTGGCCATCCCCTTGTGGATTTCTGGGCCATTCACAGGCCAATCCCAATTTTCTCTACACCTTCTCATCTAATAACTCTACTCACAAGCTCTTTTGCAGGAGGGGTGTTTTGTTCTGGAAGCCACATTCTGCTATTTGATATTCAGGTCTTGTGGTCTGTGCTCTTTAGACACACAGGGATTTTACTCTGCACCTCTGAAGAACACACATTCTCTCATTTGTATTTCAGCAGGGCCTTAGAGGCTTTCCACAGTGGAACTTCAGGGGAGAACTTGGCAGGCTTTTACAGAAACACTATCCTTGCCCAAAATAACTAAATATTGGAAAAAAAAAGCGTTTAGCTGCTATTTACTATACTATTAATGTGGCTCAGATTCTTCTACAAGATCTAAATGTTATGTACAAGATAAAATGTTGCACATGAGAAATATCTACAGTAACAGCTGAAGTGAAGCCTTTGATCTTTGCTGGAACCATTAAACATCCTTGATTCATTTCACGTCCTCAAGTGCTATAAACCTCATTCTCCCCCAAAAGTCCAGGATGAGTCATAATCAAAATCCAATATTTTTTAATGTTGTACTTTAGGGAGCTACTAAAATATATCACTTGGAAATAGATCAATTTGATTTCCTGTTATTCCTGCTCAAGCCTCTGGTCCCAGCAGTTTGGTGTAACTGTTACCAAACACCTTTGCTAACAAACAATTACAACAACACGAGTTCTCTCCACAAGAACACAAGAAGAAAATAAAGAAGACCTTTCAAAAAAAAAATTTGAAAATAATGCCTTGTGCAAGCATTTAATTTACATTACCCTATTCTATGTGAGAATATTACAAGACAGCACTGCCATTGCACAGATTTAGGCGGTTCTCTTGGAAAATCAGGAGAAGTCCAGTAAGCTGAAAAATCAGTGGAACAGAGATCCACACCCAGCTTACTCTTATAAGAGTTTTTTGGACAGAATTTCCTCACTGACATCTGTTTTGGTGTCATCTGATCTCACTCCTTGCATAATAAAAAACAATTCCCTACACTGTGGGAATTTTAGGACTATATACAGAACAGCACGGTTTTGTTGTCTTCTTTTGTTTCCTGATTATGAAACACTTTTTCCATTTCAGGTTTTTAAAAAGTAGCATATAAAAAGAAACAATTAAAAAATCAGTCATGTATACAGAGCTCAAGATCTCAGAAGCATGGCATTGTTATGCACAGTTCTGGTTTTTATATAGCAACTAGTTGTTTAAGAACTAAGAATAGATGCAAAACAAAAATTAAAAATTATCTCTGCTGGGTACTCTCTGCTACTGAAATCCACTCAGAATAATTTCCTAGTTCTGACATAGCTTAGCATTTAGTCATTTATCCCTCCTTGTCCCCTTCATCCCCTTTTTTGTTCACCAGCTGGAGTCTAAATGATACTGTCAACATTTAGATTTTAGGTACTTTTGAGAGCAGAATTTATTGTCTTGCTTGGTTCTATAACATCAGAACAGCAACATCACTGGACAGCAAAAATAGCCCCCCAGAAAATGGGATGGGTGGGATGCATTGCTTCAGATGACCCTATAGTGTGCCAGGAATGGAAAGGTGCAGCAAAACTTTAAAATATGTAGTAGTTCAAAACCAAAACTAATTACCCAGCCAAGCAATCATGTCCCACAGAATATTGCTCCTACATTTAGAAGAGAATGAGAACATGGAAGAGCAGAGACAGTATCAGCACAAGTAAGCGTACAAGATCAGGGGGGCAGAGCTGTCTGGATGGTGACCTCAAACCATCGACTGGGCAGAGAGAGGCTTTCAGCATCTCTCAGGGGAAGAGAGGACCTTTTAGGATCAAAAGAACTTCAGGGAGGTTTTTAGTCACGCAGTTTGTGTGGGCTGAAGATGGGATTGCTTTTGCAATCTTGTGTGTGCACCTCCTGCATGCACGGCCTCAAGTAGGCAGGTTCCAGCAGTGCCTGGCAAACTGTTCTGCACAGGCATCTCTGAGCAAGAGGTGCTCAGCTCTACTTGAGAAGGCTTTCTGCACCTCTTTGTCTGAGGAACTCTTCCCAGAGAAGTCACTTCAGAAACTGCACTAGAGCTCCCATCTCATTAGGGAGAAGAGGTGCTGCAGTGCCAGGTGACAGAGGAGGCACACGCCCCCTGAGACAGCTACACACTGATACCTGCCTCAGGTGATAAAGTCCTGAAGGAAACAGCCATGCTTGTTAAATACCTTAATGGCCTCAGGAAGGTTAAAGTGTTGTCTTTTCTCCTTTAGCCGCCTCAGAACGCTATCCATGGTTTCTTCCACTGAGGGAGCTGGTTCCGTGCTCGTGGCCTCCTGTGTGCCAGCCTCTTTAGAGGTCCCAGTGCTTTCACAATGATCATTTCTTTGGGGTGCTGTGGAGGTACAGCTTTGCTCCTCTGAAATCCTGAGTTTCAGCTCTGAAAGGCAAATTACATGGCAAGTAAAAAGATGAGAAATATTTGCAAAGCAGTTTCCTCTGACACTACTAGAGAAAACAAACAAACAAACAAACAAAACTTTCCTACTTTTGGCACACAGTTCTCATCATACCACAGATATATAGGAAAGTAATTCTACTTCATGTTAACATTTCTTTTCATTATTCACTTTATTTTTATCATTCACTTTAAATCTTTTGCCTGGTTAAAGGGAAATCCAATGGTCAAGTGATGAGATGTGTCCATGACAATAAAATTTATAGCACATAGGTAATTCTCTTTTTCCTCCAAGGCCACCTTTGACACAAAAGGTGAGGACTGAAGAGGCACTGGGTTACAGAGTGGGGTCTGGATAGGAATTAGTGCTGAATTTCAGTGGGAGTGAGGTTAGGAAAGGGGCTTAAAAGGAAAAACAGTGAGAAAATATTTATGGGAGGTTAGGTGTGGGGGGAATATGAAAGCAGAGCTCTCTCATTCCCCTCCTTCTTGCCAAGCCTTGTACTCTCTGGATAAGTAAGAACATGCCCTTTCCTGCTGTGGGCACTGCTGTCTAAGGATGCATCTTTCACAGACACACTTTCACACACCCAAGCCAGAGCAGTGTCTCTGCAGCATCTGCTCCCCTCTCGCCCGAGCTGTCCTTCCCTGCCCTCCTGTGCTGCTGCCAGGAAGGGTTGGGGGGGCCAAGCTGTGCCACAGAGCCCTCCATGCCAGGCTGCTGGAGCCGTGTACCACAGGTCTGGATAACCAACACTGCTCTCCAGTGCAGTTTAAACCATCCACCTCCCTCCCAGAGGCTGCACTGCCCTCCCAGCCAGGCTAAGGTGGTCCTCACTGGGAGAAACAGCCACTTCCCTTGGCAGAAGAGCACCTGAGCACCCCAGCAGACAGACAGGTTACAGTGTGTCCGAGCTTCCCAGCCAGCAACCTGCCTGGCTGTGATAAAGTGTGCAAGTATATTAGCTTGACACCAAGCCAAAGACCCTGGAGCTCCCGAGACCTGCACAGAGCAACAGGGAAATTGAATTGCAATCTGAATTAGCTCCTGTAAAATCAGACTTTGTTCCTAGAATATATCTGGTTGGTGCACCTTGGGCAAGGCAGGAGACTGATGGCTCCACGTGTGTTAAATTTGTTGAAATCCATGCAGAAACAGTGACAAAATTTTTAAGCTGTGACAGTCTGAGGATACAGGCCAGCTTTGTAGGGAATACCAGCAATTTTTAGTTGACCTGTAGAGCTAGAAAGGATGGACAAGCCTTATGAGCTTGGAGAAGGACCCACAAGCACTTGAGTGTTTTCCATTCCAATCGTACTTGTCATGTGAACCTCATGAATCTCGCTTCACTTAAAAGCAGTGCCATTATTCAGGATAATAAAATCAAGGGTTGTCACAGGATTAAGCATTTTAGGTGTGAAGGTGAGGCTGATGTATGAACACGAGACCCCTGGCTAGGAGAGGCAACGGTTGAGTCAGACAGATGATTTTCAGAAAGTTAACTATGTGGATTAACCATTTCTACTCATTTGCCTTTCCTGGATTTGTGACACAAAGTTCAAGGAAAAATAACTACAACAACATAAATAATAATGATGATGATGAAATCATACACGATAGTACTCAAGGGAGAATTTTCCAGAAGAAATTTACTGAAGGATGGGTTTCTGATTCTTTATTTACCACAATCACAGCCTCTATATCTACATTATTAACTATATCCAGAACAGAGATGAAAGATAGTACTACAGTTTATCTAGTAGTGAGAATCCATTTATAACAGGGGGGAAAAAAAGATTTAGATAAATTATAAATAGCCTTAAAAAAAAAAAATCAATCTGTCTTGGCTACATTCTCCCTGAGGGAAAGCATGTGATACACCCCTAGACGTTAATGGAGTGGTATGCAGACAGTCAAGGGCAAAACCTGACCCTCAACACCAAACCTAATACCAAGGAAAGATCTGTTCTTATGATAAAAATAAATAAAATCTTTAGAGATGAGTATCCTCAGTCATAAAGAAACAGTTGCACCTGCATTCGTGCTATTACAAGGAAAAGTTTTAACTTTGCTATTTCAGGCACTCATGAAAATATTCAGAATAGCACTGCCTTTTGCATGAATGTTTGTAGTGATAAGGGAGAGACGGTGTCTTTTTCCCCTTCCCCTTTCTAGGCTTGCAATGAAGGTTGAACTGGCTTACTTTAATCCCTGCTTTCAGGAATCAAGGCAAGTCACATCCCCTAATATCTTTGTTGCCTTTGAGAGACTTATTGCCATGCAGTGTGAAAAATAAGCAGAGCAGTGAGGTTAGACAACTGACTCTAAAATATTCCAGGTACACTCCTACTTCCAAAAGCTTCAGCAATAAAGGGAAGCGACGTGCTATTCTGTACCTTTGAGCTGCTTGCGACCTTTGGCCAAAGCATTCATCCATTTCAGAACTTCAGGATTGGAAGTCTTGTCACCATGGGAAGGCTGAATGCAAAAACAAATGGAAAGAATGGGAAGAAACAGAGGGAATTGAGAGTTAAGTGATCAAAACAGACAAAACCCTGCGTGCTACGAAAGGCCTGTGGCTCCCGCTGCACGGTGTCGTGGGGCCACGCGGGGCGTGGCATTAATTTGTCATGGCTTATCTCTACCCCATTGTGGCACAGCGCTACATGGACCTGAGCATTTTGCCTCTGACGCTAAAAAAGACACAACAACATTTAAGACTCTGACTAATCGGGTAAATAATCTCAGTGACTTCAAAAGGATTGATCAAATACCTAATTTTAGTCAAGTTCCTAAGTGATTTCCAGGGTGGTAACTGAAGCTCTCTGTCCCTTTGCAGGGATAAGCCCTTGCTTTAAGACAGTGATTCTGCTGGGAAACAGCCCTTAAAAAATTTCCACTGACCTGCTTAAACAATCAAATGAAAAAATCCTGTGCAAGAGTCATTTCATAAGTAACAAACAACTAAATCTTTGCATATCAGTTCTTTCTTTGCATTTATAAATTGTCTCCAAGTTTAAAACAATTTACACTGGATCTTCAAAACTCAAGATATTTAAAATGACATAACAGTTTTGCAAAATTAGGCCCCTGATTTTTTTTTTTCCTGGTCACAGTGTGAGGATTACGTATAAAATTTTTCTCCTGGGAGCATATGATGACCACTGAGCCATAAAATTCACAATTTCAAGTTTTCAGTCACCAATGGGATTACAAGGTAATATGTAATTAATTTTAATGTGGTCAGAAAATATCACAAACTTCCCTATTTCATATTGTGCACATTCCTAGGATCAGGGATGCTTTGATATGTTTATACTGCACAATCCATGTTACACAAACCAGCTTGATGTGAACAGGGCTCACCACTGACCTCAAACAACACCCCACAAGTTTTTTCTATAATTTCTGCCATCAGCTTCTGTTGAGCCCCATACTTTGGAGTTTTACAGCAGTCTGCCTGAAAGAAGGAATCTGCACAGAGGAGGAACAGTTTCCAGGCAAATGAGTTCTACAAAGTGAGTAAGTAGCTTTTCTTTTTTTTTTTTTTTTTTCATTTTTTGCATCACTTTGGTTCACAAGCCTGTCAGCTACGTTTCACTGATTCACACTTCTCAAAGGTGGATATTTTGCAACAAAGGTAATCCAAAGAAAATGTAAATTAGAGTCTCAGAACTACTGCTTACACTGGAAGATGCTAAAAAGGTATTCCCTCATTGAACTTTTTCCCATATCATTCTACTAAAAATACCCTTTCTCGTATTGTTTTGAGTAAGTTTACATACACTGGGATCCTTGCCTCCCTCTTCTGGTATTTCCCTTTTCAATTGTTATCTTACCAGGTATTTTTTTTCTTGCTCAAACTTTTCTTCATACTTCCTTATTTTTCTCTTGAGGCTCTGCAGATGCTTGGTAAGTTGTGTTACTGTCTGTGGTTCTTTGCAGTCCTCACAGTTACATCTGGAAGAACTTCTTGGCCTGCAAAAGCCAAAAGAATAGTTGCTGGATCTAAGAACTGTCTGTAATGGACCCTGCCTTGTTTCAGCCAAACTTTAACCCTTTCTTTAGCACTTCAGAATTCACAGCTAGGTTATTTCACAAGATAGAGACAACTTAGTTTTACAAAGTAAGCATAAAATAATTACTTTTGATTGAAGGTACCCCTAGGCTATATTAATGGGTTCACTATCTGTCTTTCATTCTCTCTTTTGATTATTAATTGTGGGATTTCTGAATATTTTGAAAAAAAAAATTAATCTAGTAGGTCAAACCCTCATCCAGGATTTACATTTAACACCCACATCTTAATTCACAGGTCTTCCAACTACAACAGGAGATTGTAACGACATGATTTGCAAGTGTAAGTGCAGGGAGTTTTTCATTGCTGGGAATAAGCATTATCATTTTGAAGGCAGTTTAGTTTCTGATTATTTATTATTTACAGTTGCAAATCAATAGATCTGATTATTATCCATATGCAGATGAAGCTATGTGTATGAGCCTTCAAGAAAGTTTGATTTCTCTCTGTAACCTGCAGCTTGGTTTCTGGAAATCACATATATGGATAGTTCATATGCTGTATGACACTGTCACATCTAGTGAATGGCTCAAGCTATAGTTCAGTTACAGCTGAAATTTTTAGTATTATGCCATGATAGTCCTTTCTGTCTTATCACACTAATTACTAACAAACATTTAAAACCATCCTTGCTAACTGTAGTTAACAAAGCTTTCAAACAATATTGTTCTCTCTTATGACAGAGGGAACACTAGTTCCTATTTATGGTACTGGAAATTATCCATGTCAAAATACACCACAATATGAAAAATTTCCTGTTTATGATGTGACAGTGACTAAAAAAACCCAATGAAGAGTCAAAGGTTGTGGATCACAGAAAAGGTTTTAAAAACGTGTAAGAATTAAAATACATTTTCTTACACCATGAAAGGCTGAGCACTTGGTGGAGAAGGGGCAGACTCCGTGTCTAGATTAAATCTCTGGCTCTGGCTAAAGATAGAGCAGCGTGGTGACAAAAGAGGATTGTCTCCATCTGTAATGTGATACAGCAGTCGGCTGGTCCCCAGGGAGTGATGTTCCTGTGGGCTGCTCTCCATGTCATTCTGCCAGTCTCTGTGGGCTGGCACAGGCTCTGGAAAGAAAGTACAAACCAATGTGGACCGAGGGTCACTCACAGAGGCACTCAGCTACCGAGGTGAATGCAAATCTTTCCTCACAGAAGGGTTCACAGTAAACAGCAAACAGTTCAGCAAAGTGTCACATGCAGGATGGACACAGGACTGAGGATGACAAAATAGGTTACTGGCTTAAAGTAAATCATTTTTGAGTTCCACGGGAGAAGCTGGATGGGTGTGTTTGTAAATAATGAAGTATAATATAAAGATGGAGAGTGTCTCAGAGTAGCAGCATTACTTGTATTTTCACAGGTCTGTTTGCTTTTGAGAGCTGCATTTCTGGAGTAGATGATGAGTGTACAAAGTAAGATTAACTTTGTGATTTATCATTTACTCCATTGGTGAAGAGAAAGGAAGATCAAAAATATAATATGCCCTGATGGTGAGAACCTCCAGGGCTGCCTGCAGATTTTTGTTAAGGTTTGAAGTAACATACCTATGGGTCTAAAGAACACAAGATATGAAAATAACAACCACCACCAGTAATATTCCAGTTAGTTACTCCAGGTAAGTGGGCAGTGACTGCTGGCTGGAGGAGTCTTGCTTGTGATACTGCGTTAACAGTGCCTTGGACTGTAAATGGAAACCTCACCTCAGGTGCCTCAAAAGGTCAAATTTGTTTTATAGTGGTGATCAAGCTAGAAAAAAGTAGGAATTGGTGAACTCCATCTCACTGGTTCTGTTTATGGGTAACATGAAAAATAATGGGCACATTACAGTGCCTACCTCCAGGGAATATCCAGAGTTCCTCTTCCCTTGGCTGTGCATGAGTACATTAAAGGGAATAATCATTGTATCTTATTCCTCACCCTCAGCAGTTAAATGGATGAGGACGATGTAGCCTAATCTATATTTTTGCTATCAGATGACTGCGATTTAAAGGAGATGATACTTTTTAGGGAGAAACTCCACAGTCATAAAAGTCCTTGCCCAAAAGTTCTCTCTGTTTCGCTTTGTTAAAGCAAAGATTGTGCTCTGTCTCAGGTTCCCCTACAGCAATTTCCACAGCACATAACATTTTACACCAGCTATGTTATTTTTCACCTAAACTCATTTAGAAATACAGCCTTTAATTCGTATATTTAATTCACTTATTTTGCATTTCCAGGGAGCATGCATGTGATTTCTGATCAGTGTTTTATTTGCCATATGTCTTGCATTCTAATACATTTCACAGAATCTTATTATTCAGTGAAAGCCTAAAACTGCACTGAAAAACAACTGTACATGGATTTACTCACAGAAGAACTGGCAGGTTTAGGTAAGTTCTTTCACCTTCACTTTCTTTGGATTCTCTCCTTTGCACATGGGACATGACTTTCCCATGCTGAGTGGGTATTTCTGTCAGGATTTTAGTGCAATACATTTTATTTGCCCTCTGCTCAAGAGATACCGAAGCTGCAAATCCCTATTGCTGCACTGGGACAGTGGGGAAAAAACAGCTCTGAGTGGCAGCCCTCACATAAGAAACAACTATTAATTTAACATACAGTAGTTACAATGGCCTAAAATATCATTTTATTGGGCACTATCCACCCATTTTTGCTTTACAGAAAACAAAAAATCCTATTGTATAATCACAGTTTAGTCTGTCATGCAAAAGTTGCATGTGACCTTTGTATCTCACCTACTCTTGACAGCATCATCAATTGTAATTATGTTAAGCATTTTCATGATGAGACAATGTGGCTGATTATTAATTCCAACCTTGCATCTCTCCTCTCAGTGCTTCATACTATGAAGGTCAAATTCCACTCTCCAAGATACCAGAGCAACACCCAAGTCTCCTAAACCATGTGTGAGATTCAAGCCCTCCCACGGAGAGATCCATAGGGGCGTTCTGGGAGAAGCAAGGGTAGAGCACTGTACCAGCCATGGGAAATCATGTACTGAGAGCACACACTGATAATGGCTGGAATAATTGCTGTCAGCAAAAGCATTATCCCTTTTTGGCAAGTACTCTTTCCTTGCCCTGTAAGATTTCTAAAAAATATCTAGTTTTGGATGGGTTTTGGTCTGCTGTTGTTGCTGGGTTTTTCTATTCTGAAGATTGCCAGTGAGGAGAACCTGGCTTCCTTCCTTTAATTTCACCATCTTTGAACTTTGGAAAATATACAATCACTGTGAAGTAGGTTGACTAAGAATAGTTTCACAAATTTCTCATGCTCTGTTATTATTAGGAATAAACTCTTTTATAGTCATATTAAGTAGCAGTCTCCTTACTGTGAAAGAGAAATAATGTGGTAAAAAGATCAGCCAGTCTGTGTATGGCAGGTGCAGGAAACAACTTTCCAATGTTTAAACTGATTTTCTGTGGACCTAGAACAACCCCTCTTGCAGGAGACTGATAAACCATGGGGTCACAGACACTTGCTCCTTTTCACATTCACAACCAGACAATTTTCCTAGGGCCAACCCAGTCTCAAAAATGGAAGAAAAGCACACATTCAAGACTAAACACTCCTTGAAGATAAATGCAAAGGACAAGTGGTGGCTGGTGCAGCTCCAGTGTGAAAACACACAAAATTCAAGGAGGTTTTTTCATTCAGAAAGGGAGACAACCTGCATGCCAGATGAATTTGGGAGTATTTCCCAAAGGCCAGGGCACTTCCATTTCCTTGGCACCAGGACCATGCACAGTGGTGCAACTCTGGTATGGCCCAAGAAAGACTTTAGTTCCAACCCTACTACAGGTGCATTAAATTACTGCCTTCTGTTCATGAGTGGTCAGCAAATAAATAAACTGATTCATTTACCTGGCCAGATTACTGTAATAGTGAAACACCTCGATGATGACACAGTTCTAACCAACCCCATTTTTAATTAAGGCTTAAGGCCATCATCCTGCTTCCAGTTCTGCCTAGATCCTAAACAAGACTCTGAGAATTATCCTGAGAGTAGCCCATGAACTGACCAAGCTTCTCCTTGTGTTCATGTGTCTGGTCTCATTTTAGCCTCTATTTTTGACAAAACTGAGAATTAAAGACACCTCTACACAAGCCAGTAAGTTGCCCCTTGACATCTACTCCATCTCATCTGCTGAACAGGACTTTAGGCCAGCTTCTGGTATCTTGTGCAGCATGTTCATAAGATGGACTTCATATGGCAACAAGTCCTGTGGTACATGTCTGTACTGATGCCTGTGATATTCTCTAAATAAAATAATAATACACTGAAATCCCTTGTGTAGAAAAATAATACTCATGTGCAATATGTTCAGCCCTCAACATGTAATGCCTGTGAGTGCTACTACCAGGATTTTTAATTTCAAAGCCATTTAGAACTTCTTGTAGTTAGGTTCAGCTGCTCACTGCTCAAGTCATGTATTTGATGTATACTCATTTCCAAAAGCTACAGAAATTACACCCTGCTCTTCTATGGTATCCCCTTAAAAAAAACTAGCGTAGTAACCCCCAGAAATTCTTTATGGCCTAACTTTGGCAACTCCAATTCTGTTTTTACATACTCAGAAGTAAACTGGAAACTGCTGACTTTGCTCGTCTGTTACTGTTCATCCCCTTACAATTTGCATCCTGGAATACCCTGTCATTTTAGTAGACTGTTCTGTCTTCATTCACCATGCATATGATGCATGCCTATCTAGTTTTTGTTGACTGGGATGCAAATGAAAGGATCGTGTTTATTTTGCCTGATTCATCGAGGAAAGGCTAACAACTAGAGATGCAGCATATATGGCACATCCTCTAAAAACTCTGCCTGGACTGGTACAAATCTCTGGACTTCCATCCAAGTTTCAGCTGAAATAGCCAGTAGTCCCACGTGACAACTGTACCTTAACTCAGGGCATCAGAAGACCTCAGTAGTAATTTAAAAGGCAGAATTAGGGCCAGTTCTGCCTGTGCAAAATGGCAAGTTGCTAAAAATACCACAAACCACAAAGCAGATGTTAGCAGGAAGGAATGCACGTTAAAACCCATTAAACAGGGAGGCTTTAACTAAAGCAAGAGTTGGAACTGCTGGAGTGACAGAGCATGCTCTGAACTGTGCAAGAGAAATGCTACATCATGCAATAATTCCCCGAGTAGCTGCAGATGGGCAAGTGGGAGCAGAGAGGGTATTGGAAGTAGGGGTCACTAACAGCAGGAATAAAAAGAAAATCTAATCAAAAGAGCAAAAATAAGTAAAAGAAACAAAATTAAGGACCATCTAACAATGAACTATGAAACTACCAGAATAAAATAATATGATAAACTACTCGAAAGGGAGGAAAACCCCACCCTGTCACAAAGGAAAGGGGTCACTGCAGATTTTGGAAGAGCTGCAAAATGTCTCTGCCTGTGCAGCACACACATGAGACCTGTCTCTGCCTCAGATCCACGCCAAGGCTGGCACCAGTCCAAGTTCCATACCTGTATCCAAGAGCCATTAAAGTATTTAAGTATTTGCCTCGCTGGGCTAAAGCATTCCTTTGTTTTTTTGGTTTTTTTTTTCTTTTAGTTAAAACCCAGGACATTGAGCTTTTTCACATTCCTTCATTTTTATAATAATTTGACTTCTACATACCTTTTTCCTTAATTTTGCAATGCAAACCTCAAACTTTAGAATTTCTTAAGCAGAACATTATCATCTGTGATTTTTATTTTTTAGGTAAACAATGTTATTTTTTGCTGAAAATGCTGAGCAAACAGCTTCTGAAGTAAGTTCTTCTGAACCCAGATTTATTCTAACATGAAACATCAATTGCAAAGGGATTTACTGACCCACCTGCCTTAATTTGAACCATGCATGGTGCACGATTTAGGTATTTGTGTATTCATGCCACTTGTCTGTGAGATGTATTAGTCATACTCCTTTGACCTATTTTTCAAGAATCAGTGACTCCTCTTCTACTGAGCATCACGACTCTGCCAAGCCCTGGGACTGCAAGCTATGAATTGACAAAAATAGTGCCGAGCCTTGGGGCTGTTTATTTCCATATTGAGGAAAGAGGGAAAGATAACACACCACAGTTTGCCCATTTGTGCAATAATACGGGTTTCGTGAATGATTAAAATCCACATGCTGTAAAACTCACCTTCGCTATCTCTCTGCTGATGCATTAAATTAAAATCAATAATAGGAGAAATGAAGTGATATTGCTCTGACAAAAAGAATGACAAAAATAGAATTACATGATATGGCAGGTGATCTCACACAATACAGACATAGGAAGTAAAGAGCACAAATTTTCTTGGGAAAAAATAGCAGGTTAAAACTGAAAATAAAAGAGTCAGGATTCTTAAAACCTGTCTGAAAAGCAAGAACTCCCCCTCAGAAAACCAAAGGGTTACAGCCATTAATTTCTGTCCTTTCGAGAGGAATCACCCCCTTTTTACATTACACAGCACTTGCGTCAGGAAATGGTGCTTTACATTAGCTCTGCACTGTTTCCCAGAGGACTGACTGCAAACCTGATTTTAAACTGCAAGCCACAAGGCTCTTTTATAATTGCAAATGAGAGCACACCACGGCAGGACCGCTTACCTCCACCGCCGGCCCCATCAGCCTGCACGCCGGTCTGCACTGATGGAGGGGCTGTGTCCTTGGGTGCCGGCAGCTGGGGAGTTTCCTCCTGGCTTGGCAGGAATGCAGAGCACAGATCGGTTTCCAGGGCTTGCAGCTTCAACAAAGAATTCTGCAGACAAAAGCAGAACATTGGGAAGGGATGGAGAACAACAGGAATCAGCGATAGCGCCTCGACTCCCGGAGCCCATGAGCGGTGCCTGCAAAGGGGTGTTCCACTGGCAGCTCCGGGAGGACGTGCGAGGGAACCAACGTGCACTGTTCCACGAGTTTCTTGACTCCTGGTTATTTAAGTCCCAATTTACATGGATTATTCATGACACGTGGGAAAGACGACTTCGTCAGCAAAAGACGATTTATTCTAGGGAGCCAAACTGAGATGGTGTCCCTTTTCTTGGGCTTGGAGCAATACATTAGAGAAGTATTTCATTCATTGGGCTGACATCACGATCTGATGACATTATGTCCCTCCCCATTTACCATTCATAAAAAACCAAATCTCCCTCTCCAGCTTGTGAGTGCAGTACAGAGCGGTGAACAAAGAGTTACTGAGAACACGCTCCCTCGTGGGATCCTTGGAAGAGGTATTTTTTTAATTGGCTTTTTTAGAGGTACTTCACTATGTAGACGTGGCTTTTGTGTAGGTTCTGCTGATTCTACAGAGCAACTGGGTCATTTGCCATCCACTGCAAAGGTAAAATAAACACCCCATTGTCCCTTGCTGCAGACAAATCAATGAGGACAAGGCTTGTTATCTATCACAGCACTTTCAGCTAGTGTGTCATGCTTGGTCCATTTCTCACTTCAGTCTTTAATGCTGCGTGCAGTATTAAACTGTACAACCTGACACAAGCCTCTTGCTGTGATGTAAATGCTGTGAAAGCCCTAATCACCATCACTGACTGGGCAAAATGAGTCACTGCCCCCACGCATTCAGATCCCCTATCTCAAGGGAAATACAGCTTACAACATAAAACATAATCACACAAGGCTGTCTTAATAATTCCACAGCTGGCACACACAGAATATCATACACCATTAAGTCACCCAAACAGTACGTATTTATGAAGAGCATTTCCTTAAGAAAACAATAAGAGTTGCAACAGAAAGAAAAGCCCTCAAGTTTATACCCTAAAAAGCTCCTTTTCCCACTCTGAATCCAAAGTATTGACTCATTTAGTGAAAAATGAATTTGTTTACTGGCCTGATTTACTTTGTGTAACAATGTCACCTATGTAGTGAGTAGTTTAATATGTCTTTGCATTATTTTTATTGTAAGGCAGCCCTTTGATAAACCCAAGGATGACAGTGGCTTTAGGTTAAAAAAACTCCCACCAAATTAGTTTGCCTGAAAACAGCAGGGAAGACTTTCAGCCTTGATCCTTTCATTTCTTTTATAGAATTCAGGAAAATTATGGAAACCCTCTCACACCCAACGGCTTTCAAATGGAAGTGAATTTTCTTATCAAGGGAAGGGTGCCAACTAGAACCATACCCATGGTACTGTTGTGGGAAGGGTTTTAATGGCATGGCAGGCCTCATTTTCCACTGTCTCTCATTCCAGTTAAACCCAAATAAAGTGGTTGTGGAATTATCACAGCAGATGGGAAGCATTTTACAGCCATTAATGTCTTCTAGCAAAAGGTGACTGTACCAGTTACAAACCAGGGAGGACTCTGGTCCCAGCCTGGACCTTATCATGAGAACAGCTGATGAAAAGTAGGGAGAACACAGATGAACAAACCAGAAGAACATACCAGTAAGGAGAACATGGGTGAATGCCTGACAGAAATACCTAACCTTCATGGACTGTTACTTCAAGCATTTGACAAGAAAAATCCCCTACCGAGAAAATACATTCACTTTGCATCACTATTTCTTATGACACAATAATATTTATGGGAAGTTCAGTATAAAATCATTCACACAGACTGCATTGTTAAACATTATACTTCAGCAATGCTTCTGCTGTAATTCACCAGCTGGTTTATATTCAGTCGCTCTAAATGATATTTTTCACCCATCTGGGGAAGGTGGGTGGATGGCAAACTTCCAGTCACTGCCAAACACTAAAAAAATTCATTTAATGATAATAATAATAGAAATAGCTTGTATATTTTCATGAATGTGCCCTTGACAGGGATTTGATGTAGGGAGAAAAAAAGACTAAGTAGCTTTGATGGTTTTGATGTTACCAGGGAGACGATGAATCTGGAGTGTGCCATCAACCCCACCTTACTCCCAAACCACAGCTGAGTACTGTGGTGCTGCCACAGCACATCACCCATGAAAAGTCAACACATATTGACAGGGACACACACACAGAGACACGGCTTTAAGAAAAGGCCAAGCACAAGGCTGCCCAGGTTGGACCAGGCAAAGAAGCTGCTAAACATGTTAGAACCCAAAACAAACAGCTAAAATACACAGAGGCCTTGGTGGGTACCATCAACAACTTTAGTAAGCTCTTAGATGAAGAACAAGTATAACTGAAGTAATTTAAGATGTGGCATTTCATATCAGCTCATGATCTCACTTCCAACACTTCAGATTTGATGCTCATTCCAGCTTCCCTCTGGTGCCCAGCACCAGTGTTTCTGATGCAGTAATTCCTGATCCATGATAATGCAAATAAAAATGCATTAATATTTAAAATGGATCCTTACATTTCTTTGGAAAAATAACCATATTTTTGCCTCTTAAGAAGAGTATCCTGGAAGTATTGAAAAAGAAGCTACTGTAATTGTCTTGGACAAAGGTTTCTTATCTCTTCTTATGTTCTCTTAAAGCAATTGACAGTTCAAAGACCTTGAGCTTTGCCAATTCCACTGAAGAAAAATACAAGGTTCATTATTCCAAATAATGGAAAAATCGACATTCACAGGAAGCTGGATGAAAAACAGGAAGAGAGACAGCGTAGTGCTATTCACCTGTTTGGTATTTTTGATAATGCTTTAAGAAAACACAGTCATTAAAATATCATACCCATGCCTGCTGGAGAAGACACAGAACAAAAGGACTGCCATTTGCAAAGGAAGCACAGCCTGTAGTAAAGACACCATCTCCACAAACAAATAAGCTTGTAGCCTGTACCCCACTGACCATCTCTCCTTCCAACCAATTATTATCAAAAACACAGAGTGGAGGCCTTAGGGCAAGGAATTACTGACATGGCAGATAATCCCTTACATCTAGAGATAAGTACCACCCACTGTTAAATCCCTCTGGAGAACGGGCCACTGAGGGAACAAATTCTCCCACTGCATCACCAAAATGCTTTGGCCATGAGTGGCAGTGCCCTGAAACAGCCTATAAACTTCATCTTGGTGGGTGCCATCAGTAACCCCCTCTCCAGATGGGGCCCAGCAGGATCAGCACCGTGGGACCAGGAGGCCAGTCATGGCCTTAGAAATAACTTCTGTCCCTGATAAAGCATTACTTTTATCAGCATCCTTTGTTTCATCCTTGTGGACATCCTAAGATCTGGTAAATTTAAGAACTGAGGGAAAAGGGGAAGGGAACAGGCCTGCCCCAGCCGTGAACTCTGCCCAGTCTCAGTCAGGAGCCTGACAGAAGGGGTGAGAAGCAAAGCCCAGACTTGGTTCCTTCTGCATAAACTGATATCACCCTGACCCACACAAGGTGTTTCTGAACATAAAGGATGCCTGCACCCTGCCCTGGGGCCTGGTCCTGCCCCTCCAGGACAGGAAGATAGCTATTCTATTATATCCAGTTTATAGATGGATTTACTGGATTTATGAAATCAGTTGGGGCAGAGAAGGAGAATAATCCAAGCTTTCGTCATTTAATGGCCTTTGAAGAGATTCATATAGAAAAGAAACTGAGCAAATTTCAACCTCTTCAGTTTCTTCACTCTAAGGAAATTAATGCTTTTATATGTCACATTGGAACAGCTTTTTAATCCTGAGAGTTCAGGTTAAAATAAGATAGGCATATTTTATGTGAACATAAATAAATCTCTGCAGTATCTGTTATGGCAATATTTGTATCTTGAGGCATATGACATTTTCAATTCAGAACTTCCTTTATGAGGAATGAACAAGTAACAATAAGATAGAACAAGATATGCCCTGGGTCTGCATAATGCCACGGGTGAGCAGTGAAGAGAGACACCATTTTCTCTAATCCTAGAAGGGAATTTATTTTCTTATGACACATGTCCATTTGGGTTTGCAGGAGATCTGAGACACAATAAAATCTAAGATTCTGCTAAAGAAAACACCAGGTTGTAGCCCTTGCTCCTTCCTCATTGATTATTAATGATTTGTTTTAATGTCTTATCTTTATTTTAATTATCTAATCATCTAACCTTAAAGTAATCCTTTGCAAGGATTTTAAATGGAAGCTTTCAAGTGGAAGCTTTAGCGAGTATTTGCAGTGGGGTTTCTCAAAAAGGAAACAATAACTTCATGATTTCCCCCAGGCCCTTAAGTGGCTCGACAGAGGCTGAGTGTACTCCCTAAGCTTGGTCACTGAGAGAGCCTTCCTTGTTAGCACTCAGATTTTCAACAGTGAGCTGCACAACAGTGACACAAATGCAAAGGAAATAATTCATTGCAGGGACAAGATTAAGTCTGAATTCCTTTAAAAGGGCACACTGTGGTTTTCCCCTAATGAAAGTCAGGAGTCTATTAATAGACATAGATGTTCCCTGGCTCGTTATGAAAACAAAGCTGTCTTTTCCACAGTTTAACAGGAATGGACTTCTCTTCACCCCTGCCCCCCTTTCCCCGCTGCTTCTGTTGTTCTGTTGTCTTGGTTTGCACTAAAAATGTTGTCTGCTCCTTGTTAGGTCCAGTACCATCCGCTGCCCTTGCAGTGTGTGAGCGTATCTGTGCTCCTGTGCAGGTGCCCAAGGCTGTGGGAGATGCTTTGCGAGGTTTCACACTTTGTATAACCACAAAGCTTGGTTTTACACCCCTCATCCCACCCAGTATCTTGCTGATTGTTAGGACCTAGTCCAGGCTCATCCACTGTTTGATATGATCACTCAAACACCTTTTTTGTGCTCCACTCACACTGTGCTCCTGGCACATCCCCGAGAAAACAGCTTGTTTCAAGTGTCACAGGTGTTACTTGGCTTTCCTGGCTTCCCCTCTTCAACTCTCCCCTCCTCCCATCTAACAACCAGAGCACCTTTTTCACTACATTGTACTGTTCATAGTTTATTTATGCAAGTTTTAGCAACACTGAGAACTCCTTATTTTAAAACAGGACATATTTAATAGGTGAACACTTTTGAGCTTTAGTATGAGGAAAAAATCAAATGTTCCTGAAAGATGGCATTTCACCCAGTCAATACTGAGCATTTGGTTCTTTCCTGAGCAAACAGAAAGCAGCAAGAAGTTGGTTTGAAATGTTTTTTTTTAAATCTCTAGCTTCTGGCTTTTAAACTATTATGGCAGTCTCATATCATCTTTTTAAACTTTTCTCCAATAACATGACTAGAAAGATTCACTAAAAAGCCAACCTAAGATTCTCAAGAGATTACATTATTCCAAGACCTTAAAATTAACAAAACCCAAACATCTATTCAAAATTTATAGCATCATATTTCAACCTGTGGTTAAGCTTACCTCATTTAAGCTGCTACATTGATCGGTTGCTTCCTTTGGTGAAGTGCTTGTGTTCTGATCTGTTCTACAAAACAAAATAAGAATTTTCACTCAGTAGACTGCTTATCTGTGCTGCAAATATGTCAAACTTTTAATCATGTCTGTACATAAGTTATAAGTTCCAAAAAGTTATGTTATTAAAACAAACAAACAAACAAACAAACAAAAACTTCTCTGCAGAAGTTACATCTGTATTTTGTACCTCATTCAAAATAGCTGTGATTTTACTGGAATCCTAACTAATACATTTAAATTGTGAATGAAGTCCTGCAAAACTATGACATTACAATGTGGGTTTATTTTGTCATGCAGAAAAAGTTCTACAGAGGCGTGATCAGTTCAGTGTCCCGGTGAGATAATAGAGTTAAAGCCAAGAAATATCTCAAACATATGCTTAAATCTAAGCACAATTTCTCCCATGTGCTTTAAATCAGGGGAAAAAAGCTTTCCTGTGTCAGAAACATAAAGAATAAATCTTCCCATATTTAAATTTGCTGGCATTTCATTCTTCCAATCTTCAATTTTCTACTTAACCTCTGTTTTTAACGTTTCACAAAGACCCCAGTGCCTGGAAATCCTGTGAGAGAGACATCCACATTTTTGCGTGAGCGTCACTTTGCAGCCATCAGAGATGTCCATACCTTTGGCTTTCTTTCAGTGTATTGCTGCTTCTCCACATGGAAATTTTCCATGCTCAGAGTCATCCCAGCAAAAACAAATAGTTGTAAAGATCTCTAGAGACCTCAAAACCAGTACAGACAGATTCATAGATGTTTATTGTAGTTCTTCGTGGATTTATGAGACATTTAAAGACTGAAAGGATGGATATGCCACTTTCCTTATCAAAACAGACACACTAGGTAGCTACACCAAGGTGAACAATCACTTGCTTCCAAGCAGGATCCAAGGTGTGCAATTCACATAGTAACAAAAATGAGTCATTTTGAGGAGGGTTCAAGTAGCACTAGAATGGGAGGCCTCACAGCCCAGCCAGCCTGCACCTCCCACAGGTACACAGTACAGGATCAGATGTGAGTGATTTCTGACAACACTTGAGAGCAGCAGGGTGCCTTGGCTGACTGCTGAACAAGCACCTAACTACAACCCTACACAGCTCTCCACATACAGATTCTTTTCCTGCCCTCTTTCCTGAAAATGAATAGCAAATGTCTCCATAATGTGAAGAGAAGGGAAGGAAAATGAAATCACAGATGCAAAAAAGTTAATGCCTAACAACCAAACCCCTGCTCTTAGCCAGCGGGGAGGACAGTATGAGACAGCAGAAGGGAGTTAAAGAAAACACGAGGAAAAGCAAAAGGACTAATTTAATGAGAAAGAGTGCAGTATTTGTGGTTTGCTTTAATAACATGTAAGGAGGGAGCTGCAAGGTTACAAACAGCTGAAGAGCCGATTCACTAATGAAGAAAAAATGTTTACAGTGATTTATTGCGTTGAACTAGAGCTAGACGTACAGGAAAGGATGAAAAGGACACATGTCAGATTTGAACACTTCTGGTATTCATTTGAATGGCTCCTTTCAAGGTGCATAACACAGCAAATGTGAAATCTCCTTAAAAAAGTAAAAATAAAATAAATTAAAAACAAACAAACAAACAAACAAAAAACCCACACAAACCAAACCCAAACCTAAATGCCAGCAAGCAGTTCATACAGGCACTCTATGAAGTTCTACATAATTCACAGCTGTATCACTCATGAGTGTTGCACTCTGGAGATTGAAAGGTTTACAGCAGCCATGAAGTACCACCTGTCTCTCATCCAGGTTGATGCTCTTGTCTGCTGTTTTGGAAGTCCATTTAGTCATGCATTTTGCTGTTTCCTTTTCACTAAAAATACTGGAGTATGATGCTCTTAGTTGTGTGTTCTTAGGATTCTGGAGATACTGAAATCGTTAGGGTGAGTGACCATTTTTGTGTGAAGAGCATTTACATGAACAGCGTGTGCTGAGCTGATCTTACTCTATCCAGAGATTTTTGGTGGTGTGCTTTTTCCTTTTCACCAAGACTAATTGCTCTGCCAGGCAAATGCAAGTTTTCTGATTGTCACCAGGCAACACAGGGCTTACAATTTAATGACTATGGGTTGGATCTTACTCTCATTAAAAGTCAATCACAAAATATCCATTAACTTCAAAAGCAGCAGGAACAAGCTCTAATTTTCCATCTGTGCTGAGTACATTAAAATTATTTCAGGCCTTAGCTAAAATTTTGAATAATTGCAGGCACCCTTATTTTGTATAATTTACATCATGTAAAATAATGAAAATGGAATTCTCTCCGTGTCTCCTACTCAAATATATGTTATATGGTCCTTTACAAAACATGAAAGGCCTGGTCTCTCACCCTCCCTCATAGACTCTGGCTTTGGCAGAATTATACTGTTCTCCATGACAGAGATGGCAAAGATGCAATGAGTAATATGTACATTTGAAGCTTGTGGACTTAACACACACACGAAAAAGTCTAAATACTAATTATCATAACAGAGCTCCTACCAGACTTCAAGGGGAAGATCAATTTGCATGAGCAGTGTGCTGTTTGAAAAACAGACCAGAACATGTGCATTTTTGAATTATGCATGACATCACTTCTAAACTTGCATAAAATTCAAATAAAACCACGTTATTTTAAAAGCTAGGCAAAACGTTTGAAGATAACCTAAGCAAATTCACATCGCAGCTCGTAGATGGAACCCAGAAAGGAGCATTGTATTCTGTAAATTGAAATTTACCGCAGTCCAGCTCTGGATCACAGTAGCCCCATCCTCAGCTGAGTTATGTGTTTATGCACCACAATGCCACACGTGCTCGGTGTCTTGGCGCTGGTGATGCCAGGACAACCACACAGTATCCTGTGGGATGAAACTCCTTCTCCAGTTTCACTGTCAGTCTATCCTGGCCCAGCACTCCTTCCCTGTCTCCAGTCTAGGAATCAGTTCTACCCTACCCACCCTTAGGGTGTCCCCTAAGGGTAACAGCGTCTCAGTGCCGTGTCAGGGGACTGATTCAGCCCATCCACAGGTCACATCACACGAGTTCACAGAAAGGCAGAACCCACAGCCAGCACATCTCAGCACTGGGAAAACAAAACAGGTCCTTTCTGAGACCTCCACAAATAGCAAAAGGCATTCTGAAATCCAAACACCTTCACACAGGGCTGCAGGTGGGTGCTTCAAAAGCATGCCTTTGACTCCTTAGAAAGCAGTGCAGAATTGCAGCAGGCTTTGGGGTAAACATAAAGAGAGAAAAATGAGAGAAAAACATCATCAGTGGCCCAAGGCTACTCCCTGGGCAATCCCTGAATGATGGAATAAGCACAGAGAGCCAGCGTAGCACTGCCTGTCTCATCAATCACAGCCCTTATGTAACGCAGCCAGCACTTGTTTTTATTACTATGAAAGCCTCTCATACTCACCAGGAGCAGTTCTTACTTGAGCTACAGTGAGATGCTATTCTTTTCTTGCTCCTCTATCCTCTCCCCCTCCCCACTTTTTCTTTTATTTATTTTTTTTTTTAGCTGTATTGCAGCCCAAAAGCATGCTCAGAGAATTTTCCATGCCTGGGTACAAGAAGTCTCACTGAAACCATAAACACTACTGTTTTAATACCAAGATTTCTGAAGAACTTGTTTTTAGGAACTGGTCAGTTATTTCCCAGCTTTCTCACCGCTCACTTAGCTGCCTGTACAGGTGAGGGGATGTAACCTCACAAGCTCTGCCTCACCCATGCAGGTCTGCCATATGGCACAGGGACATCAGCACTTCTGCAGTTTCCCTGCTCCCTCCCACTCGTCCCTGAATTGTAGCTGTTCAGGAGAAAGCCTGGAAACCAAAGGAGTTCCAGCCTGAACTGCTCTCTCAACAGTTACTTGCCTTGAAAACTTAAATACCAAAAGCCTTGCTAGAGCTTGACCTCCCTTGGGGGATCAGAGAAACCTCAGGAGACTGGCTGAACCAGGACAGCCCAGGGCTACTGGCATTTCCAGTTTTCCTGGAGAACAGTCATAGGTCTGACAGCAACTGCTACCCTAAAGACTCTGCAGAAATTAGGAACCAACCCAGGGACCAGCTGAGTCCTGTTAAATGAAACCACTCCATTCCCATTTTATTTGGGGAATGGGAAAGATGGGGAACTTTCAGGGATTTTTCTTTGGCAGAAAACTTAACCCCAAAGTGTAGTTCCCACGCTGAGATGGAATGCAGCCTTCTCTGAAGCACTGACCTTCCCACTGCCCCAGAGTGCCTTGTAACAGGCAGCTGAAGGAAACACCACCCTCTGTTCAGGTAACTGCACACAGCTTGCAATCCACACCAGTTTTGCTGATTGCCTTTGAGAAGGCAATTGGCAGGAGCAGCTCTTTGTAATCATATGTATTGTTCCATCCTGGCTTTCCTACTCTCTGCTAAGAAAAGGCAATTCTCTTTATTTGTTCCCAGGACCTGCAATATAACTTTTGTCTATCAAAGGTGCAAATTATATTACTCTCTTATCCAAACGCAGCTACACACAATGACCAGAGCAGCATTCACTGTAATCACTGGAAATAGTATTAGAAATTCATGTTCTGGGAATAAAATGTAACGGTTTGCTTCTATGCAGATGGCATTCCATATACTAAATTGATCCTGATGTTCATGAATCATGCACGATAAACACCTCCTGAATTTGAAATCCTTGATTCACAGGCCAAGAACAGCTTAGCCAAGAACAAGACAGTATTCCCCATTCTTCTCACTGCAAACCTCTTCACCAAGAATATTCTTCCATTTTCCTCAAATCCCACAAAACCTTTCCTTTATTGTTTTGGTGGTTTCATAAAATGAAAGTACTGCCTCAAAAAAACAATCCACACGTATACGCTTGTAGGTCATATTTTTGTGGATTGCTGCTCTTACATTGCCTGTTCTGTTCTTCTTTGTCACATATCTGTTTATGAGCATCCCTTGATAGATTACCCTGAATTTAAATTTCTCTGTTTAACGGGAACTGGACTGAAAAGTTTTTTGTATTTCAGTATTTTTTAATCCCTATTTAGACAAATTAAAACTACCCTGTTTTTAGCTGCCCCACACTCACCGGAACAGATTTCTTAAAAAGCTCCATACAGTTCAGAGGTATTTACACCTTTAAACTCCAATGAGACTAATGACAGAGCTATATCAGTCTGCAGAAGCTAAGTTAAAGCACAAGTAACAACAAGCCGCCCTAGAAACAATCAGCCTTGCTTCTTCCTGTGAGACAGAAATAAATCCTCTTTGTATCCTCCACACACACATCTGATACACCGAGAGAGCCTGCCCAGGGTCACCTCTGCAGCAGTGTACCCATCTCCTGCTAAACACCAGAGAGCTTTCACTCTATGAGTCAGGCAGATACAGTGTCCCAGAGCATGGGTAATTTTACCAGTAACCTGGCAAAAACAGTGGAAGAGACTGAAATTCAAATTTAGTGGGGGTAGCAGATGTGCTCTGTCCAAACCCAGCTACGATTGCTGGCAGCTGCCAAACCTGAATACTTAACCTTTGCCATGTCCACAGCAGAGAAGGCAGAAGGCAGGGCAAGACGTCATTCCCTGGCAGCAGTGTCCCAGCCTGCTGCACGAGTCGGTGCTGTGATCCCAGTGCAGCAGCCAGAGGGACCCGTGTGAGCCGGGACAGGGGCGTTTAACTGCTGGGACCCTGTCAAAGCTGCCTGACAGCAGAGGGATGGGGCAAGCTGGTGGTGGCCCTTCAGGGAAGTCACTGACACAGTGACTCCCAAACTGAAAGTGGTAACTCCAGCATATGTAATTCAAAGTCCCCCTGCCCCAGCTGGGTGGTGGGAGTGTTTTTTCCAAGGACAGTTAAGGCAGTTAAAGTAAATTAAGTGTGTGTGATGCCAGGATCATGTATTAATGCTTGTTTGCTCCTTGTTTAAAGTTCCTTATTTGAGAGTAAAGTCACCTACCTTTTTTTGTTTGTTTGGTTTGGGTTTTGTAGTATAATCAAACTAAAAGATGGACAGGGTTGAGATTTGATCACTGTGCTTTCACAGCTCTTAGGATGGTAAATCCAGGTACCATTATTTAACAGATTTAGCCCTTGTGGATAGCAGGCTTTCTAAGGAGCTACCCTGACATTAAGCAGGAATAAACAGCATAGTGAACAATGGTTTAATACCAAGCAAACTCAAAATGCCAAACTGTTGAAGAGGATAGGGGAATTTTGCTGTGGTGACTGTTGTTTCATGCACACTCTAATTTGGTTCTTATCTATTTTCCTTGCACCACATTCCTTTCAAAATTACCGGTTACTTTGTTATCTACCCATACACGGGCATCCCACCAGCAGGGGCACTAGGTAGGTCTAACTCTGTGATACCAAACTCACCAAGCTCCTCATTACAAGAAAACCATGCAATTCTTTCCTAGCATAAAGAATGCCAGAAAAAGAGAAGACAGGCTTCCTAATTAGAAACTCTCTCTGAGATGCACTGTCTCAATTGCACAGACAACCATTGGAGGGCAAAAGCAGTTCTTTGTCCAAGGTAATTATATGCTTGGTCATTCTGCTAAACCTTCCTTTGAGAGCACGAATTAATATAATTTACAGTGTTGCCAACTAAAAGCTGTGGTGGAACCAACCAGTTTGTTTCACATAAAGCACCAAATTGCCTTTGGATGGCCACTGTCACTGCCAACCTAATCCCAATTGGAAACAAACCTTGGAGCAAACATCTAGGTGCTCTGAATGTCAAATAGCTGTGCCCTGAGCATCCCAGGGATGTGCTGCTGCTGCTTCAGTCCCTCCACAGAGCACCGAGGCTGTCGTGCACCTCGAGGCAAAGAGCAGGGACCTGCAGGCTTACCTGCCAAAAACTGTGCACAGAAAAGCAGGGCCAAACCAGCACCTCAGCATGAAAAAATGGTATAGCAGTGCCCTCAAATTTAGTAAGAACTAAATCTTATCCTTAGGACACACCTTCACTGGTCAGCTGGGTGAGTTGAAACCTCATTTTTAGCCTTTTGTGTAACTGTGAAGGATCAGGGTAGAATCTGTGACTTCCAATAGTTATCAGAGCTGAGCTGCTCGACCATCAACTGAGTTACCTGCCACCAAGACTTTTTAATGTCTGACCTGAACACACTGTACCCTTCCCAGCACTGGAACAAGCACAGTTGCCACAGCACCCAGAGTCTAAACTATACATAAATGCACATCCATGGTAAAATTGGATGTGCAGGTTCCCATTCCCATTTCACAATTAGAATACAGCTCTGAGAAAGAGTGAGGCAAGTCAGCACTGGGGGGGGCAGGAGAGGGAGGGAGGAAGAAAAGAAGTAGCAAGATATTTTTGAAACTTGGCACAGAGGAACTGAAGTTTCTGAAATGAGGATATTCTTCCCGCTTGAAATGTAAAGGGGTTTAAAGAATGATGAAATTTGCATCCTTATCTTTATCCCTTTCACTTTCTCCAAAAAGCCCTAGCCATATAAATATAGAATACAACTGCCAATGAGAGCCAGGACTCTGAATATTTTATACAAAAGGCAGCACATGAATTAGCCTTTCCTACAGTTAATCAGAAGTGAAATGTGCTGTCTGATCCCAAGGCTTACCTTGGCTGGAGTCTCACGACTGTTTCCTGGCATCTCAGAGCCACGTTCTGTGTACAGTCATTAGCTGAGGATCCAGCCTTGCCCTGCCACTCTGGAAGGCCTGGCAATACACATTCCAGCTCCTGCAAAAAGCACACAAAATAAAAAAAAATTTAAAAAGAAAATTGAATGTGCCCTGTCAGCACCGATCAGGCTTAGCTGAACGTTTTGCTTTAAGAGAAAAATTGCTCCATGAGTCTGGATGCTGATTGTGGATCTTTGTTGGGTTTTTTTTTTGTAGTAGTCTGGAAACATGTGGAAACACACACTAGAAAATGTTCTAAACAAAGTGGTATGTTCTTTCACTGGAAAACAGTTTTTGAAACCAAAGCAGACTGTAACCCATTTTCTGTTTGTTAGTTAGATAACAGATGCCAGCTTCTGAGCTAAGAGGTGCTATACACAGAGTTCATTTGAATTTATTTTCTCATATATCAGTAATTTTACTACTTGGCTATCATCAGAAAAATTCTGCCTGAAAAAGGCAAATGCAGTTCACTTAAATAAGATTTGCAAGGTTTAACCACTTTCCTCTTTTCCTTCCCTGGAATATGTGTAGCTTTATGAATAGAGTATTACTGCAGAAGGAGGGAAAGGCATTGAGAGGAAAAAAAGTCACATCACCCAACCTGCCATGCAGAAAATAGAAAAGCCAATTCAGGCCAACAAACTGAGTAAGGGAAGAGGAATGAGACAGGTACACATTTTACTCCAAGTTTTCAAAAACCAGCTGTAGGACTGTGACAAGATGTGTTCAGCACATGTAAATTTTCCTACCTATAAAATGGTCTGCAATATTTCCCTTTCATTGCAATGGGATAAGTTAATTAAGTTCTTTGAAAATGTGATAATCAAAGTGGGACTTTTTTCCCCTCTTCTTTATTAGCTTTTATAATCTGATATTTCGGTCTAATAGTTTATCAAATTAAAATACAATGTGCTTTGCAAAACAACAGTGTTCACTTCTCTGGTAAAGCCATGTGTCTGATTTTGCTTCGTTTTCAAAGCTTAGTTGGATGCATGGAAGTCAGAAGTTTGGGAAGAAATGTTCGGATGGCAACTCACAGTGTAGAGAGAACATGGCAACTCAAGGTGAAAGGAAAAGCTGAGGACAACAGTCCTGGCAATAAACCCTTGCAGGCTTGATGTTTGAGAAGTTGGGTGGTTTGGAGGTGTTAATTTCTTTTCTTTTTTTATGTCTTTGTTACTGCTCATAAGTTGTGTTATTAGGGTGTTAATGAGTAACCCTAGGGAAACACTCCTGGTGGAACCTTCATTTCTAAAGAGCAGTGAAATCCATTCCTGATGTGTCAAAGGCCTCCAACAGTAGAGTACTGTCTTCTATTTTATTTTTGTTTCTTTTTCACTAAAGAGGGTGAAGCTTCTACAATGAAGTTGCATCTGCTAAGCAGTCTGTGAAGAGGGAAATCTCCAGGCATTGCTGAGAAGTCTCAGTGCTGCACAATCACTACCATGTTTTGTACACAAAACACTATGTGGTTTGGAAGCAGCCAAAAATTAACATCGTGGATAAACACATGTTGAGACAAATAAACTTTTGTTTCACAAGTTAATTTTTTTTTTTAAATCTAATTCCCCCTAAAAAATCTCAGCATGTTATAACCCATCTCTCTCGGAGCACCTGAATTACAGTACATGCATACTTTACTGTGATTATAGAGCAGTTTAATCTGTCTTTGAACTCCAGAAAGTGCCTTATATCCTTCACAGCCTTTATCCAACACACAAACACTTCCATCTCTCTGCAATGGAAGCACCATGTAAATATTGTACCAGCACTTGGGAGCACAGCCCTGGATACCCCACTGGGCTACGTCAACACAGAAAACAGCCAGAAATGAATCCTGAGCCAAAGTGCCTCCTACACCTCCTGAAAATGCCAGTCCATCCAAGAAAATAGGCAGGCACATTTAATGGACAGTGAATTGAAGAGATTTAATCTGTGATGGGAGCTATGGTTTAAACATAAACGGAGTATACCTGGGAACTGAAGCAGAACTTGCAGACTGCCTGACACGTTTGTGTGCTTGTGTAGCTGATGTGGCAACAGCAGCTCTGGTTTTTGTATTCCTGTACACTTAAAATCACAATTTTGTTGTCAAATTATTGGAAGCTCTTTGACATCCAAGCAATTTGCCCCTTAATTTATACTCAAAATAGAAAATTTAACTCAACAATCTTCAGCATTTCCAGCTCTAGGCATTGATTGTTAAGCCATCATTTCATTTTTATGATCATTTACCTTGATAGCAAGACTTTAAAACTGAACTTTTACTGTCTCTACCTACCTGCTAGCTGTTTAGTGTCCTTTTATAATTATGTCTCAGTAACAATAAGGAAATTGAGGATGACTCATTTAATAATCTATATTCATGATTGTGCATCAAAGGTGAGTGACAGGAGAAAGGATTGGGCAAGGAAAGCAGACTTTCTATTCCTCACCATCTGTTCTCCCACTGACTCCCTGGAGTATGCTCTGGGCATACGCTTCTTCACCTCTTGAAGTCAAATAAATCCTAATTAATTTCATTTTCTATAGATTAATGTTGCAGAATTGCTAAAGAAACTCATGAAACCACAGGAAAGAAGAAACCAAATAGCTGGAGTGCAGCAGTGTGATCACATTCCAGCAGCCTGCCTCTCTCCCCATACTTTGTTTGGAAAGGTTGGAGCTGCATCCATACCCAGCTCCTGCCCCCAGAGAAATAACTGCACGCAACATGCGAAGCACAGTTTTACTGCAGTGACATTGTATCATCTGACAAGTGGTCAAGTCACCTGATACTGCTCTTTTCTCTGGTACTCTGGTACTCTTAACAGATATATACAACCCTACAACCAAACTAAACTTCCATTACTTCAGAGGAGCCCAGTATTCTACGATTCTATGATTCTATTTTTAGTTTTGGGGGAAGAAATTCTACTCCATCAGAAACAGAGCATTCTAATTTTAAAGGCACAGTTCTCTATAAAAAAAAATCTCATGGGATTAAAACATATAGGAGCAAATAGCAAACAGTTCCTTGGGTTATCAGACCAACACCTTTAAAAGAGATAGTGTCACTGCAATATTGTCATTGTTTCTCATGTCACAGACAAGTCAGGCTGGGGAAGTGAGGAGACTGTTGTAAAAGCACTCTATCAATAAACTCAGGAAAATGAGGGTGAACTGTTCTGTCATGATGTGCAGTGCATCATGCTTTTGTTTCATAAATGCACGTACTCAGAAAGTGCTCTTTTTCAGCTTGACATCGGCTCCTTGCAAGGATTTATCCCATGGAGTGGTTTGGTGGCAAGGTGTGTCACCAAAGGAAGGTATATGCAGTTGCAGTGTTTGAAAGCATCACCTGGCCCACCTCTAATATTAAAAATCTGCCATATGCACATGAACAACAGCCACTAGAAACAACACAGCAGCACTTTGCTTTCCACTTCAAAATGGAGAATTGCCGCCCTCTCTCAACTAGGGCTGTTAACACAGGTAGCTGCAACAGGGTTTGGGAGGTCACAACACACCAAGGATCCCAATGAGAGCCCACACACAAAAACAAACCCTTCTCAGGGCTCTTCTGCAAGAAGAATCTTGTTTTTCTTGGGCACTGTTGATGAACAGTGCCAGATGCTTCCTTCCTCAAGAACAAAAGCCCCCGAGGCAGCTGAAGATGCAGCGAGTGAGCGCTCAGGGTCAAGGAGCACGTGCATCCTTACTAATGAGAATAAAGGCTTTTCTCCAAAACAACTTCCTACTGCAAACCATTCCCAGGGGCAAGCTCTGTCCATAACAGCTTGCACCATTGAACTCAGTTTGGATATAGGATATCCATCATAAAGTCTCCCTTGGTACTAGGATACCATTCCCACTATGAATGAGCGGAGTTACTGTTATGGAGGGATGTTTGCTTTGTTTTTATGTTACCAATTACACTCAAAGCTCTGCACTAGTCTCATCCTCAAGTGCTCCCATAAATCAGAGCTAAAATGGTGCCTACTCATCTTACATCTTCCATTATGCCAAGAGGTAGCATAGGAGCCCAGGACCACTTTTGTCTTTCCTAATTCAAGCCCTTGAGTGATGTGAAAATTATCTGCCTGACACTGTTTTTCCTTCCAGAGGCTGCATACTTCAGTTGCACTGGCATTTTATGGCAGTCTAATTATATGTCCATAAAGTTCCCCAGGAAAGAATATCAACATTTTCAGATAACCACTTCAGACCATGTAAAACACTACAGAGCAGTAAATCTGTGCTGTGTTGGCTTTCATTGCGTGAGAGATACAGGCAGGACACACACAGGGAGAAGGCAGAGAGGGGGCTTGGAAGTAGCTGAAAGAAAAACAGATAATCTATGAGACAGATCGTGCCCTGTCTGCGACTTCTTCATGATTCCTATTCCTGATATGCCTCCGATTGCTCTTCATAGGTCAAAATTCCCACCATTTTTCTTTTCAGTTGATAAACATTTACACCTCATCTTCCTGCAGTCTAAATAGTATTTCCTAGTAATGCAATACAGTTGCAAAAAAAACCCCAGTTATTGCTTATCTCTGGGATGAGCTCCAGAAGAACATGCAGGAAGATTAGGTCAGAGTTTGATATTCCTTCTGTAGGAGACTGTGATAATACCATTGGGATGCCATTTGCTTTTCATTTTCCTTCTGGGATTCAAAAGAATAGTTCTCACTTAGAAGGTAAGACATTCTGTCCAAAATTATGAAATCCCATTATAAACTTGAAAAAAAAAGGTCCAAAATAATTCCTACTCTGTGATGGGTTTGAAGAACTGCAGAAAGCGCTCTGCAAATTTCTATCCACAGACAAGAAGGGAGGAGAGACAAAATGTAGCCAAATACATTATACATCAAAGAAGATATGTAAATACAGACATCTGTATTTACAGATATCAGGCTTTGTGCCTACTGCAGACCAGCAAATCTCCCAACATTAATATTAACTCTCTTGGATATATTTCTAGCTGAGGAGTTAAATCTGCACCAGAGCTCTATTCTTTACACTGCACATCAGATGTGACTTGGGAAACACCAGGGAAGAACAGAGGCATTATCAGCAGCTGCTGAGAGGTGGCAACTCCAGAGCTGACATAGCAAATGTACCTCCACAGACAGCAGCAGAAGTTTCTCTATTTCTAGTCTTCTTTTATACCCTTTAGAAAAGTTATAGTTCTGCTCTCCTCAACTCAACCTGCGAAGCTTTTGAGCAAGAGCTCTGCTACCAGAATCCACATTGGAATAGGCTTGTCATTCAAAGATGAGAAAAACATAAATTAATATCAAGGGAAAGTATTAAAACTCTCTATTGGCAGCCAAAATACCAGTGCAAGAGATCCTCAGTCAAACAGACAAAACAGAAAATGTCTAATCAAATGCTGCAACTACCAAGTTTTTTTTATATTTGGTGCAAGGAAACACAGAAAATCTAAAGAGAGATATCTTCAGCTATGCTCTGCACTCACTTGGACCAGCAGTTGCAACACAGCCCTCTCTGCAATTCCCTGCCTGAAAGAAATTTCCTGTGGTGGTAGATTATTGTGGGGTCTCGATCACATCATGAATTAACAGGGGGTCCCAATTTGCATTTCAGAAGTTATGTCTGCTCAGACACCGTGCCACGAACCTACCCCTTGCAAGGTTAGTTCTTTACCTGACTTTCCTCATGGCTTTTTCCATTTTCTAGCTTTGCAATAGGCTTGGGTTTCCTCAGCTTTAGGTTGCCCATTTCAGGCTTTAGAGCACAGTCGATCACAGCCTGCTGTCTGTGCTGCTGAGCGCCTTGCAAAGGCAGCTGCCTTTCCTCTAAGACAGCACCGTTGTCCGGATAATTTTCTTTGTTATCATCATCTCTGTAAGAAAGTAAAATTGAAATGCATCAGGCAGGATTTCAGACACCTGTCAAAACATTATGGAGGAAAAAGAGCAACAAGTTCTTAGCTATTCATGGCACATTGCGTTTGCTTTTACCAAGTTGAGTGGTCTACACATCAAACACTGCATATGTCAGTAACGTGAGCCTAAACTACTGTCAGCATTATTACACGTTCAGCTGCAGAACTACTTAAATAAGACTAGTTTTAGAGGCACTCTTTGGCTTTAGCCCTGTAGTTCACATTCTCTAAATAAAATCTGAAGCTGTCCTTTTAATGCAGAAGACCTTTCCCCACTGAATGACTCACTGTAAGTTATAATCTCACAAAAAACTCATTATATACAACAGTTTCTTTCCACAGTCTCACTTCCCTTCTGACAGGCTCCGGTTTTGAGGGCTTTTGAACAAAGTGAGGGAGGTAGCCATTCAAGTAGGGTCTGAACAGCCAGAGGTGTGTTTGGGTGGAAGGGACAAGTGCCATGTGCTCCCAGTTTGGCAAGAACATCCTCCTGTACAGCAGCACACCTGGTGGTTTAAGCAGACCCTGTTACTCACGAGTCCTCAGGTAACCACTGGGTCTGGGACAGACATTTTCAGTCTCCACCCAGCCTACAAGGTGCAAGCTGTCCCAAGAAGACCCTGCAAGTCCTATCCACGCCCAGTCACTCCAGCCTTAGACTGGCCCAACGCCTTCCCCTGGTGGTGTCTCCATGGCACCATTAGGAAAGTTTCTGCAGTGCAGGATGCTGGGCTGCCTGATCAGCTGGCAGGATGAGCAGGTCGGCATTACTGCTCCAAAGTCCCTGGCTGTAGCTTAGTTTGCAGGGGGAATTTCAGATGTTAGCTTCAGCTGGTAAAATCCTAATGGTTTAGCTAAGAGGTGATCTCTCTCCTGGTGTGAAACTTTCCCAAGTGAGGGAGTCAAGGACTATTGAATTAAATACCTCTGAGATTTTTTTTTTTTTTTAGAAAGCATAACTTTCTAGTTCAATGTTTTCTCCTGAGGATTTTGAGCTGCCAAACTCGCTTTCCATCTGTGGCCCATCACCATCCAGATGGATGCTCACAGGGTGCCTGTGGAGCTGAACACCATTGCTGCCCATGCCTTCTGCAAGTGTGCTCCAAGGCAGTTGTTATAGTTACAGCGTAGGGTGCTGTATAGCCCACGGGCATCTCAACAATGTGCACAAGTGCTGCTAATTTTAAGGTATGATCTGACTTTAAAATCTTTCTGAAAGGTTAAGTCACACAGTCTAGCAATCAACATACACTAACACAGCCATGAGAGAGATATGCCTCAAGAATGCTTCAGATAAATTGCAATTTGAAGGATTTTTTTTTCCACAGAGGCACTCATCAATAAGCATATCCTTTGCACAGTTGCAAAACTCCACTTACCACTACTTTGAACCAGCTGCTGTACAGTAAAATTATTATTAGCAACCAAAGCTGCATCTCAATGACAGTAATACAATGTGAAGTTAAGAATAGAGACCATAATATATTTAGTCATATAATAACATCAGTAATTAATCTTAATATTGATTACACAGAAGTATACTAGACAAATATTTGTTTCCCAGAAACACTAATAGACTTTGCAGGTAATACCCGAGAAATTCTGCATTCCCTTGAGAATAAAGATTTCTTTCTAATGCTTTAACAGAAGCACTCTGGCAGCTCCTTTTGCTGCCAGTGGATTTCAGACAGAGTAGGATACCTGGGACTGGAAGTGCCTGCTTGATCTTCATGCACAGAGTCTGAATCCCCGTCACACCTTGAAAATGAATACAAGATAATTGCTGACTTTCTGCCAGCTGCAGAAACTTAGCTTTCAATAACATGACAGTGCAGCTCAAAGTACGAACACATTTATTCTTCTCACACCTTAGTTAGAGTCACTTAATGCCATAGCTGCTCCATGACAGTCTAAATCTCAGAGGAAGAGGAGGACTTGAGATGTTATGTGTGCACAATTTGGTATATGATTTTCAGAGAGATGAATGTAATTACAGGGAATTCAGGTGTTACCATAAAAATACAGGAAAATTACAAGAAATTCTGTATTTTAATTGCATATAGTATCATTCACTTTAAACCCAAAAATTACTAGATACAATTATCTAAGGGTGTTTTTCTCCTAAACTCACAAAAACATTAACTATCATATAGCAGTCACTCTTTGTGCAGCAGGAAAAAGAATCCCCAACTAAGTTATAAAGTGATCATTAAGCCTTAAAAAAGTGAACTAGCAGAATGTTTTAAGATGCCTGAAGAATCTTAGTGGTTTACATCCCCTTAACTCAGAAACAACAGAATTGTCCTAAGGCTGCCTAATCAAAAGAGAAATCTGGATAAATATGCTAAACAACAACCACTCAGAGCTGAGCATTGCACTGTGGATGATATTCCTGCAAAGCCTAGGAGCAAATAAACATGCATATATATGCATACACTCCTAAAATATACATACACCCTGCCTGGTACTATTTCTGGGGAAAAGTCGGGGCTCTCTCCTCACCCTCAGTTCGTACTCACAGGGCACAGACACTAAGCAGGCCTGGGTCTCTTGGAGTTTGCTGGCAGAGGAGTCTCTTCATTATGGGGGGAGCAGCCTGTACTTCTTAAATTTCGAGCAGAGCTGCCCCGCTCAGAACGGAGCACATTCGGTGATACATCCATAGCTCTGCCCTGTGATTTGATGGCGAGGTTTTTAATGTGTTCCTCTTTCCCACCAGCCTTGTGCTGGTGTCTATATCAAAAGTCAGACTGCAGCAGAAAATATTTAAAGGGACACTCAAGTGTTTACACTTCCTGAATACATCAGCATATGGATGAAAGCACTTGCTGCTGGCAACTGGAACTCAGAACTCCAGTTGCAGATGCCCCTTAATCACACAATATTGCTGCAACCAGCGCAGTTCTCCCCATAAGGCAAAGTGGGATGATGGGTGTAAGACAGGGGCTGATGTACAAAATGGATAAATTCACTGTAGAAATCTGTTTTCCTTTGCCTGTGGATGCCAGCCACACCTTCCCCTCTGGTCTGTCACCACCTTATGGGTGTCTGGCACCAGCAAGGTGTGAGTGTGGACACATTGGGTTTATGAAGAAGGAAACCCAGTGTGAAAGGAACCAGGAACGTGGATGGACAACATGATGGAATATTTCACAGGGAGAAAAAAATAGAAAGGAAACACTCTGTGAGGAGAGAGTGTCAAGGTCAGAGCTGGGTGGACAGAGCTCCCAGCACAGACACAGGTAAGGGTAAGATGCCACAGGATGTGCTGTGCACCATGGGCCAAGCAACAGCCAGCAAAGGCCAGGGGCCTCCTAAAGGGACAAACTCTCCCTCCTGTGTGTGCCTCAGAAAGAGAGGATGGGAGGAAGTGTCTCTGCCATCAGTTCCACTCACCCCCTCCTCTCCCAGTCACCACACTTGGCAACCTTCGGTCCTGAAAGACCATCTTGGCAATCAGGAACACTCTCTGGAAGGACAGTGGGTGACTGGACACAGGTCCACCCACCAGGTCTGTGTGTGCACACTTCTTAACTGAAGGAAGTGCCTGGGGGTTACTTTCCTGAGCTGACTCAGTGTCTAAGATGACCTGGAGAAGCAGAGATCCTAACTCAGCATCCAGCAACTGATAGAAGTCACAAAACAAGACAGAACTTATAAACAACGTAAGTGAGCATGACAAAATGTATTTGAGCAACTGGATAACAGCACATAGGAAGGATAAGCAATAATGAATCTGAGAACACCATGTAATTTTAAAAGATTGTGAGGACGTTTAGAAGCAACACTCTCTGAAATTGCTAACAGAAATTTCTGTGTAAAAATAAACATTAACCAGGAATCTCACTCACACAAGGTAGTGTTGGAGACTACGACCATAGCAGGACCTTTAAAAAGACGAATTCCTGATGTAATGCAAATATCCATCATTAAAGCACAGTGTGTTTTACCTTGGCTTTTCAAAGAAATACATCTTATGTGTCCATGCCACCTGTCTGCACATATCAAAACAGACATGCACACATTCCCCCCCTCTCACCAGTAACTTGTAAATCTTTTTGTCCAAGAATGGCTGTATTTAACAAATAGAGTGATATTCAAGACTTTGGTAAGTTTGGTAATATCTTGTGGCCATATAGCAGAGAGAGTTCCCACCAACCAAAAACTGCAGCAGCATCTCACTCATTCCTAAAACGTCAGAGAATATGCCAGGACACCTTCCTGCCATAAATCCATATGGGCTGGAGCTTACATTAGGCTTTTGACAAAACCAGTGGTACGAATCCTTTTCCTTCAGTTCCCAGTCTAACTACTGACAGATGGATATGTCTCTCAAAAGTACATCCAGTACCAGACCAGTAAGGTCTTGTGGCATGGGCCAGAATCAGGTCAGAGATGGGATCCCAGTCTATCTGGACTGCTGCTCTGATTCTGTACAGTACTGCCCCTATTCGTTTCTTCCAACAGGCTGACCGAGATTAAACCAGTTTAATGAGATTGGTTTAATGAGATCACCTTCTTTAACTTCCATGTTCACCTTTCCATAGGAGCCATGTGAAAACTGCTCCCTTTGGCTGACTTTAAGATGTTCACATGAACAACTTCCAAACCAGGCTGCATCCATGGCCTGATGGAAGCTTTGCATGCCCAGACACTTGCCTTGTCTGGAGAAATGTTCCTGAAAGTACTGTATCACTGATTGTATATCATTTGGGAAGCCCTGATCTTACCTTTAGCACAAATAAAGACAGAAATTGTTAAATGAGGGTGTCTAAAGTTGCATGGCAAGCTCTCTCTTTATTCTGCTAAATAAAAGTAACCTATTTTCAGACATGGCCAGCACAAACGACGAGTGCTGAAATCAGTGAGAATTGTGTATCCTCAGCAGTTCTGAAACACGGGCTCTGGGGGCAGGCTCTAAACAGGACTTAAAAAAATTAGCTCTGGAAACCAAGTTTGTTCGTTTGGACAATGCTTTTCAGATGTCATTGTTCACTTGCTTTGTTTCCCAAAAGCACGGTTCTACTCCTATTTGGAAATACAAGATTAAAAATGAAAGCCCCCAAAACAGAACCAACAGCAGCTTAAATGAGGGAGATTCAGCCTTCAGGCAATGCCTGGCCCAGCCTAGCTCTGCCATTCTGCTGCCTCCCAGTCTGCACCCCTCTCCCCAGGAGCAGGGCTGGCACCACACGCTCGGCTTTTATACCTTCCTGGCTCTTGGCTCAGTATTAAGCCCCACAGAGAAGGACATCACCTCTGGGTCCCAGAAACCTCACAGGGGAGACAGGCCTGGGGGCTGCTCCAGGGGCATCTCTACAGGAAACAATGGTTGTACTTAAGGACAGAGAGAAGGGAAGGAGGAAAAAAATAAGAAAGGTGTACTTTCTGTAATCTGGATATTTTTCTGTGAAGGGGGAGCATCCTGCAATTTTACAGACCACAATTCAACTCTTAAATAATAGAAATATGGGGGAAGGAGGAGGGGAAAAAAAGAAACAAAACCAAAAACTCTGTGATTTATTAGCTTCTGTGCAATCTTTCCATATCTGCCACAATCACACAAAATGCATGACTAAGTTAAATTATTAAATGAAGCAAGGCAATGTAACCAAATAAAGCAAAGCCGTATAAGAGATGGAAATTCTTTGGATCCCTATGAAATCTTAGTTTTCCTGTAGTTATTATAATAACACCTAGGGATGGCTCAGACAATTACAACTTGGCCTGCTTTCAGAATGTGTGTTGTCCCCACAACACTTAGGCAAACAGCTCACTGTCCAACAAAGGTGTTTTAAATTATGAGCACTTTAACAGTGTAATACTCACCTAATGCACAAACAAATCTAAAAACCATTTCCCTCCTGAAAAACTGCTTGGCACTTAATGCTGAGGAATCTCCCCCAAAAGCTTTTGAAATAATAAAAAGCATGCAAGATAATAATGTAGAGAACACCAATCTTGAAATGGTTTAGAGTAAAACAAGACATAGACTATTTCATTAGTAATAGTTCCTAAAGCCTTTGCCTTTCTAACTTTCTGATGTTCTGTTCTGCTGTCTCTGTAAAACAACAAGAAAAATCAACACACCTAGATATCTTTATGATCATTATATGTACAAAAGGCTCTCTAATGAGTTTATGGAATTGATTATGAAGAAATGACATATTTGGTACTTGGCCTGTCTAAATAATGCATAGGGTTTTTTTCAAAATATTTACAAAGAATTCTTTTCTCTAATGATGCTTGTGGTAAATACAGACCATGTGTCCTTAGAAAACTGACATACTTGTGTTTGTCAGGATCCTCAGTACCAGAAATGAGCAATATTTTGACAGGGTATTTATCCTACACTGAAAATCATGCATTTAAACATGGGTGATGTGCACCAAGCATATATTCACCCAAAATACAAAATTCACTGCTAAATGGTCACGGAGCATTTAAAAGCAGCTGCTTCATGCAACCCTTCCCATAGTCACTAATATATCTTAGGTTACAGAAAACTGAATCAAAATATATGACACTTAGCTTGGGGCTTCTCACACACTACTCACAATTATTCTCTACAGTAACTAAACTCATCATTCTTGTGTAAAAATAAGGACATCTTTAAAGTGCTCACTTACTCTGCTAAAGCTGTCGTGTTGAAGGAATTCTCCTGAATGCTGAAACAGAAACAAGAACACATCAGATAAATCAGCAAGGCAGGCGGGCTCCCTGTGTCCTTCTCAGCTGTGGGAACACATGCACCAACATGGCATTGCAAGGCACGTCTCTGTGTGTTCGCTCTACATGCACGGCTGTACCTTGGGCTGCTCTGCACATGCTCATAATCAGGGAACCACAGGGATTAGTCCTGCAACACTCACAAAGCCCATCCAGCAGCGCCCTGAATTAACACAGGGATGCAGGTAGGCTGGGAGGCTCAGAAAGGGATCATATTCTTTTATAATTGTAACTGTGATCCTCATAAAGGCTTAGGTTTACAAACAAGTGTTTGGCGTTCTGTGCTTTAAATGTTTGCTCTACGTTATTGGCTCGTCAAACGCAGCGGTTTTTATTACTTAAATAAGGTTGCCCAGCTAAGCTCTCTGGAGGTTTTCTTCTTGTTTAGTGGTCTCTTACACTCTCAGCTCATGGCCAAACCCCAAGGGATTCCATGAAAAAAATAAACTGGCAGAAAGGACAGTTCAAGTAGGGAAAGGTTATTAAGATAACAGCAAGCAGCAGATGAAACCATTCCTGTGAAAGGAATAGGCTGCTGTGCTCCTGCAACAAAAATGTTTCTGATCTGATCTAATACGTTCAGAAGGGTCAACTCAGGGTATTGCAAACTGCTGGTTTTGAGGCAGCAGTGGAATTCCCCTCGCCCCCCGGAACAACACCCCTCAAATCCAGTAAATACATTCTTGGATCATCCTGGGATCTTATAGCAGCAGGGAGTGTGGGGGGGGAGCAATCTCACTGCTACATACCAGAGACGGGATTTTGCTGTTGTTGTTGTTGTTTGGGTTGGAGGGGGGAGATGGCAATGCAAACAGCAACGTCTTATGAGCACTGCTGTTTGTGACAAAGGCATCTCGCAGGTGACAGCATCAAGCGGAGCAGGGATAAAGAGGGGCGCGTCCTCCTCCTCCTCCTCCTCCTCCGCGCAGCAGCTTGTGTGGTGTTGACACACATTTCCCAGGCAGCAGTCGCAGCCAGGAATCTCAGCCCTGGCAATTGCTTTTCTTTCACCAACAGCGCTAACAGTGCATCTTACCTTCACCCCTTCCCAGCTTTCCCTGCCGGCTTTTTTCTTTCCCTTATTTGTACACATATGACAATCTACACGGCGGCGTGAATTACCTGGGGACCAGAATGTCACAGCCAGTCTACAGGGACTCGTGCCCTACAGAGTAGCATGCTTTGTGAGAGAAGGGTTTAGAGAAAAGCTAAATTCAATGGTTAGCAATCAAATCCTGCCTTAAAACTAAAATCTCAATATTTTTTTTTCTCCTCCTCTTTCCAGTTTCTTGGGTCTGACCATAGAAATACAAATTTATTACTATTCTACTTGCAGGAGAGAAACTGAATGAAAGGTATGCTCCTAGTTGTTGTGGCAATCAAAAACTCAATTTACACGCTCATTAAGTAGAGTTCCATTTAAAAAAAAAATATATTTTTAATGAATATGCTCCAGAATGCTTAAGTGGTTGGCTCTTGATTTTCAATGGTTAGGCTAGGTTTACAGCTAGCATTTCAAGTGGAGGAATCACTACTTTTTGTCACAAAAATCATATTGATAAGAATCATAGCTTGGTTAGAGTAGAGCCTAAAGAGGGACTGAGTATTTATCCCCACTCCCCTACCTACACCCACAGGAGGAGGGGAAAGAACAGAGAATGCTCTTATAAATGTGACTTCTCCATTTCTATGTGCAAAAGTTAAGACCAAATTCTCTGCAAATTCATGCCCTGTGCAAACATGCTGTAGGGCTTTGGTGTTATTACTACTAAGAGAATATGTCTGACAACCAGTTTATAAAACTGGGATGCTTTGGACTGAGACCAAGTTTAAAATGTCACCGCTTTTCTATTGTTTGTCTGAACTTTGGTGCTATGCAGCTACTGCCAAATCTCCTTTAGGGAAGCACTTCACATTTATTTCAGCTCACTCACAAACTTCCACTTGTTCTAAAGAGGGTACTTGATCAGTGTTATTGGGTAGTCTCTTCTTGTACGGTTGTGAAACCATTCAACAAAATAAAAAATTTCATTCAAAACAGAATAGTGTTAATAAATACATGAAGGTAAAAGGCCAGCCAAACTCAGGAACCTGTTTCAGAGCTAATGCCCCAAGCAGAGAGGTGAAGCCATCCTGCTCCACGGGGAACCCCATAGAAGAACTACAGTAGACCCACTGTACTTCCTTCTTTTCCTGGCAGAAGGAAGTAATTTGTCTTTAGTAGCAAACCCTCGTTTCAACAATGATGTTGGGTTGGGCCTATTGGCTGACCCCAGTTCCTTCCACCTGCTTCCTGCCCACATGCTCTGGGTGAGACTGGAGCAAGCAAAGAGCCTCTGGCCTTACAAGGGAGAGCCAGAGATGCCTGAACCTGCATCTCTGTTTCCTTCTGAGACTCAGATTCAAGGAAAATATAACACTGCTCTTGCCTCCTTCTTTTCAATAATGACGTTCCAGCCAATTAGGCTTGTAATGCTATAAAACATCACTCTTTAAAAGGCTGAAATTCTCATTGCCAGATATATTTCATCACCACATTCAGATGACATGCCAGGTCTCTCATCATCCTGAACTCTCAATGAAAATAGTGCTACACCTACATGTGAAGTAAGCTTTGGACTTTCCCACAGCAAATACAAGGACTTCTTATTTTGAAGTCATTAGAAATAAATCTGAAATTGAAGGCTTTAAAATCAGTTTTTCCTTATTTATTCTGAACAGTTTCAGTGATTCATATTTTTGCAAATCTTATCTATGGAAAAACACTTTTTTTGTTGGAAAGCTTCCCATTTTACACCCAGTTTTGTTCTTACCCTCTTTTGCCAAGTGTTGATCAAGCCAGCATAACCATCACATGACAGCTCTCAGCTGACAACAAAAATGCAGAGTTCCCCAGAGCAAATGTCCACATACATTTTGGAGATGCCAGGTTTCAGAAATAGATTGCTGTTCACTTCTGAAAATTTGACTAATATATGGCCTACCTATGATTGACAGATTGGCATAGAAATTCCATTCTTTATTTGGTTTGTATCATCAAGAGATGATACATCTGCTAGGTCAGGAAGAAGAATGAAATAGGAATCAGCCTCCAGCTTGATTTTGCATGTAACAGAGACACATACTCAACGTAAATGATACGTTCATAGGCTTGGAACAACATTGACTGGCACTATGAACTTGTATCAGGCAGTGAATGCCTTGCAAAGACAGTCTGCAAAAGAAGAGAGACATAGTGAGACAAAAGTGGGCAGAAATGTTTCAGGAGAACAGGAGACAGCGCAATAATCAAGATCAAAAGGTCAGAAAAAAAAAGGAGGAATAATGAATCTTGCCAAGCTAGAGTTGTCTAAAAGGTCACACACACACACATCCCTGAAGGCTTTGTGGCTTTTTGGGTTCACCTGCAGAACAGAACCTTTGCCTCACTTTCCAGGATTTGCTCATCTTAGTAAATGACTGTGTTCTCTTAAGGGCATTTCTGACTCAAATAAATGATGAGGCCTCTCGGCCTTAACTACAGAATAATGAAGAATTTATACTGGAAAATAAACTGTATTTTTAAAGTGGAGATTGGATATTTACAGAGAACTCTAAACCCTCTAAGGTTCTGGGAAAGTTAGTATTTCTGCATTTAATATCTACTATCTAATGACAAAATGAGTGCAATCCTATAGGGTGTGATTAGCATTTATTGCAAGACTATTTTCTTTATTATTATTTGTTATTCCACAGAGTCCAAAGTGCTTGTGCTGAAATTGCTGCATCAGAGGCAATTACATTTTGCACTGCAGTTGGGCCATCCAAGGGAGCTGCTCTAGGTGCTGTGGAGGGACGTGAGAGACACAGTATGACACACTGTGCATGATGAGGAGCCTGAGGCAACTCCCTCCAGCTCTGGGAAGAAGTTATTCATGTTCCACTACCCAAATAAAGGGAAACTTGGAATGATCTCCCCCCTACTGTCTCTCTGGATGAAGTCAAGTCATCCCTGCCAGAACCAGATGAGCTCAGAGACTCATAAAAATATTGAGCAAATTTGTTTGTCTTGGAGTACGTGTGTTCCAGCCAAGAAACAATACCCTGAAACGCTCCAGCAATCCTTCATCTCCCTTTCAAATGGTACCAAAAAGGAGGTGCACTGAGCCCTACCTGTATGCACACACAGCATGTGCTTTCATGGACAAAATGCATTCAGCTCCACGAAGGAGCAGGTTAAACACGCTTGCCTGTCAGGCCACTCTGCTACTCCTGAGGTTACACTTGTCACTGGACACTTTTATTTAAGCAGTAAAGCATTAACTCATCTCTGGCTTTAGCAAGTCCATTGTCTTCAAACACACAGAGCTTTCTTAAGGGGAAGAACAGGAACCAATCTGCATTAAAGTGTTAGCACTGTGGATCACTCCAGAGCCTTGCCCTTTCTTCAAAAGTGATCCTGCCGGCTACTTTTGCTATTTTCCAGTCTGTAAGGCATAAACCAAGGAGCTGCCATGTGAGAGAGAAGTCACATGGCTCTTTCCTGTAGTGATAAATACTGAATGCTACACGCTGTGGCTCAAAATATTCATGTGTTCACTGACTTGCCTCCTAGATGAGCAGCCTGCCTTTTTATGGGTAACATTCTCAGAGACATCAGGAAACATCTTGGGAGAAACTACACTAAAACACAGCAGTTACATCCAGGAGCCAGTTGGTGAGCACTCGATCCAGTTTCTGTATCTTTGATTTTCTCAGTGACCTAATTAGGACATCTCTGAGTGAACAGACCTGGGGGGAAAAGCGTTCAGCTGATCCTGCTGTACGTCTTCAAATGAACCGACAAGCTCCTGCGGGAGGAGACCCGAGCCGAGCGTAGGTGCAGACACAGCTGCTGTAATCTAATCCAGGGTGATACCATAAGGTGCACTTCTGTTGGGTTGGATAAAGCTCTGTGCAACTGCACAGGCCTTCAGGGTTATATATTATGGAGATATTTCAGGGAGCAATCAAACTGTACGTAATTCCTTGCTCAAGCCTTCTAAGCAGTGGGCCAGTGAATCCCATACACGCTCCCATAGTTCACCCA